TGCTCTGGCTAATACCTAAGGCTCTGCCCCTTACTACGTAACATGCGTGCTGAGACAACAACAACAACAACAAAAAGGCCCAAATGAAAAAACAGCAAAGCGCCAAAAATAGAACTAATCAATGAAGAGATGCCAAGGTATCAGATGCAGAGTTCAAAACATGGGTAATCAGGATGCTCACAGAAATGGTTGAATATGGTTGCAAAATAGAGGAATAAGTGAAGGGTATGCAAAGTGAAATAAAGGAAAATGTACAGGGAACCAACGGTGATGGGAAGGAAACTGGGACTCAAATCAATGATTCGGACCAAAAGGAAGAAATAAACATTCAACCAGAACGGAATGAAGAAACAAGAATTCAGAAAAATGAGGAGAAGCTTAGGATCTTCTGGGACAACTTTAAACATTCCAACATCCAAATCATAGGGGTGCCAGAGGGAGAAGAGGAAGAGCAAGAAATTGAAAACTTACTTGAAAAAATAATGAAGGAAAACTTCCCCAATCTGGCAAAGGAAATAGACTTCCAGGACGTCAGGGAAGCTCAGAGAGTCCCAAAGAAATTGGACCCAAGGAGGCACAATCCAAAGCACATCATAATTACATTACCCAAAATTAAAGATAAGGAGAGAATCTTAAGAGCAGCAAGAGAAAAGGAGAGAATTACCTACAAAGGAGTACTCATAAGGCTATCCACTGATTTCTCAAAAGAAACCTTGCAGGCAAGAAGGGGCTAAGAAAAAGTACTCAAAGTCATGAAAGGCAAGGACCTACATCCAAGATTACTCTATCCAGCAAAGCTATGATTTAGAATGAAAGGGCAGATAAAGTGCTTCCTAGATAAGGTCAAGTTAAAGGAGTTCATCATCACCAAGCCCTTATTATATGAAATGTCAAAGGGATTTATCTAAGAAAAAGAAGGTGATCAAAAATACAAACAGTAAAATGACAACAAACTCACAACTATAAACAACTGAACCTAAAACAAAAAGAAACTAAGCAAACAACCAGAACAGGAACAGAATTACAGAAATGGAGCCATCAGGGAGGTGGAGGGAAGAGAATGGGGGAAAAGGTACAGGGGGTAAGAAGCATAAATGGTAGGTACAAAGTAGACAGAGGTTTAAGAATAAATAGTATGGGAAATGGAGAAGCCAAAGAACTATATGTATGACTCATGGTCATGTACTACAGTGAGGGAATGCTGGTAGAGTGGGTACAGGGCAAAGGGGAATAAAGGGGAGAAAAAAAATGGGAGAACTGTAATAGCATAATCAATAAAATACATTTTTTAAAAAAGTACAATTAAGAAGTGTCCCAGGTTCAATTCCCAGCCAGGGTACATTCCTGGGTTGCAGGCCATAACCCCCAGCAACCTCACATTGATGTCTCTGTCTCTGTCTCTGTCTCTGTCTCTCTTTCTCTCTCCCCCTCCCTCCCTCCCTCCCTCCCTTCCCTCTCTAAAAAAATAAATAAATAAAATCTTAAAAAATATATTTATATAAAAAAAGTACAATTAAGAGACTAAAGGACACTTGAATGATTACAGACTATGACATCAGAACATAGTCCCTTCTTTTATGAATGTACGACGTCCCCTCACTGAAAGAGTGGAGGTTGTTGAGGAGAGAAGGCACAGACCTAAATGGTGTAGAAATTATGTAGAGAGTATAGAGAGTATAAGATTCAAAATGTGGAACTCATATAAAACAGTATTCTCTAGTTGGTAAAGTCATTTTTCATAGGGGTATGTAAACAATTCTGAACCATTGTGCCTGTATACTAGGTTTGAACACATAAATGGAAGGCAAATGGTGAGAAGCAGCTTTCACACTGTTGTTGGAGTGGGATATAACCGACACACGAGGGGAGAAGTGTCGAACTATACTTGTGGTACTGGGTGGGAATCAGAGACACTAGTGTGAACTCATATGTAGCTTAATATGGATCCAAATTGATACATGTATATATACATAGGTTAATATAAAAACAAATATTCCCTGACTCTGTCTGCTAGGAACAGTGTCTGAAGGCCAAGAAACAATGATATCCCCATAGCGATTGCTACACAGTACCCAGATTTTTGTTTCTAATACCATTCTCCAATAAAAGGAACCAGGGGTCTCTGGGGAAATGATGGATACTAGGGCTGCCGCAGGGAATGTATAAGACAACCAGAAAGTAAACAAGAAAAAGCTATAATAAACAAAAACGGTGGGGATACGTGAGAGAGACACAGCAGCCAACACAAACAGCTTCCATGTTCAAAGGTGGAAAATTTCAACAACAAAATAAGTAGTGTAATATTGGATTATACCCCAACATATAAAGTAAATACCCGTAAGTCCATACTTACATAAATAAATGATTGAACAGGTAAATAGATTGTGGAGAATAGACAAATCTCCTGTACAAAAGAATTTCAAATAACTTATATAGATATTCCTCCCTCAAGAAGGTGGACTTTAACTCTCCATCCTGTTGAAGTGTGGTCTTTTCATATTGATTGCCTTCTAAAGCGTATTGGAAATAGAGGAGAGAAGAGAACTTGACAGCAGAGAGGCTTGACAAATACTACCTCAGTTTAAGGGTAACATCATCAGTGGTAAATCATGCTGATGGCATATATCCTTGATAATACATGATGAGAATGACACTTCACCTCTGTAATATTCTTTCCAGAAATCCATAACCCCTCTCTGCACTAGGCAAACCCAAATTGAAGGACATTCTATAAAATACATGACCAGTACTCCTCAAAACTCAAGGCTGTCAAAAACAAGAGAAGTCTAAGAACTGTCACAGCCTAGAGAAGCCTAAGGAGATATAATGACCAAATGTAAAGCATCTTGGATAAAATCCTGGAAAACAAAAAGGACATTAGTTAAAAACTAAGAACACTGGGATAAAAGATAGCTTTTGATAATAATGAAGTATCAGTATTAGTTTATTAGTTGTAATAAATGCTAACAATAGGAAAAACTAGGTTCAAGCAAATTTTCTGCATATATAAAACTATTCTAAATAAAAAGTTTATTAAATGTTTAAAAAATGTCTAGCAGTGAGTTCCAACGATCTTTAATATGCCTTCCAGGTGATTCTAATGTATGCTAAAGTTTGTGAACCATTGCTTTACTGTTTAATCAAAAGGAAACTTACGATTAGAAAAGCTTGTTATTTTAGTACAAGGTATGGACCAAACAGTATCATACACACAGATGGTCTCAGTGAATAAACGAATAAGTAATAGATATCTTTTTGAAGAAACTCATAAAGGAAATATCTTGATTTGCATATAATTTATTCATGAGGAGGGATAAGAATAAAATGCCTTTGTGACTCAGTAGTATTGTATTAAATAATTGTATCTCACCAATTCTGGCGTAAGTAGGAACCAATGAAGGCTTCACAGATTGCTGTCTATTAGGGTCCCCAAAGGTAGCCAAATACAGCAGCTTTTTTCCCCATACAGTTCTGAGTTAACTGAAAAATATGGTAAGGATAGCTATGATAGATAGGAGCCAAAATGTATGATATGACAGATAAAGGCCTGCTGTTGAACTCCCAAATTTGACAAACCTGCCCACTCATTCATCAAAGGATCTAGACTACTCCAGGCCCATCCCAACCCTCTTAAGGGACATCATGAGTACACTTGTGGAGAGGAGCCAAGATTGTCATACTAGAGCTCCATCTTTCTGGAAGAACTACCAGGAGTACAGAAGATGTGTTCTCTCCATCACTGACAGTAAATAGGAGCACAGCAGACAAATTGATACGTTTGTGATGTTTTTCCAGGGGGAGAGGGATATGTAGTTAAGATTGAATTGTAAGCCCATTTTAGACTTAGGGGATCTGACCCATGAAAATAGATTTTATAGGTATATGGGGGAGTTTCCAGCAATTTCTCAATGTATACCAAATTTAAGCAACATTTTGACAATGGTTGATACAGAGATCCAGGCCAAAATTTCTTTGCCAAGCTAGGGCTTTGTCTATGAATGACAGTTACTCTGCTATTAAGTAGAAGATTGACTAGACTACTACTTTCCTGGAATTAGTGGAATTAGTAACTTTTATTTTTTTAGATTATAAGGAAGGTGTTTTTCTCAAGCTCTGGGCCTTCTTAAGAGGTGACTTAAGAATTCCTTTGTTGGTAGTTTAATGCAGGGAAAGTGTATACCCTTAAGTTTTGTTTTTCTTTTCTTTTCTAATTTTTTTGTTGTTGTTCAGTTACAGTTGTCCCCATTTCCCCCTCATTAGGTTTTGTTTTTCTAAAGCTATTCAAACTTTACCCCTCCCAAAGACTGATGGAATGCTGTCTCACACCCTGTTTTTAACAGAACACATTGAACTCTGACCTCTATACCTGGTTATGGCTCTTTATTACCCACACAACTAAGTCCAAACTCCCCCAGTCCTGAATGAAATTTTTTAAGGACCTTGGACCTCTGACTAGCCTAAATGTGTTATTTGTGTGGATATTGAGCCTATTTTAATCCTATATTTAACCAGAACTTCCAGTGGAGAGTCTTTAGTTCCTAGCAAAAATAATTACAGGTGAGCTGTAATCTAAATCAGAAGAAAATTGATAAGAAGGCCAAAAAGCAAAGGGTTGTTGATACAAACTAGAAATTAGCTTAAACTTAAAGAAAGGTTGCATACTATTTCCACAAAACACACTTTCTCATATTCTTGAGTAGTATCTACGGTCACTGATCCCATTTCCCTTTTACTACTATGGGATACATGTAATGGGATGCCCTAGGTATTAAGACTACAAGTATGGGACTAGCATAGGCATATTGTTACATTAGGAGCAGAGACTGTTTATGGGCTGTAAGATCCAGTTTGGCTTCAGAGGGATTGGATAGGCTACCTCTCACAACACAGCCGTTTCCTTGACCATGTAAAGCCACCTGTAATGTATGATCCATCATGACAACTTGTGAAATGAAAATTTAAAATAGCAATTAGTAAATGATTTTTATTGTGTATTTTAGATTTACGAGTTATGAGGAAAACAACTGGAAAAATTGTAACAAAAGAAGACCTGGAGAAGATTGTAGAAATAATACTCACAGAGACAGAAACACTGAGACTTTTTAACCTACCAACAGTCGTGATTTCTGTAGAAGCTGAAGAAGCTACAAAAGTAATGTGCGTATGGTTCAACTGTCTGCATTACTTCTGTAATTTAAATGTGAAGACAGAGCTTCTTGTTCTTTTTTTCTGTCCTTGGGGATTACTGGGTAAATACTCTAGTGTATGTGCCTGGCAAAATTGTATGTTATGTATGTGCCTTGTAAGTTATAGTGTTTACTTTGCATGTACTTTTTTCTAGAGGAAGAATCCATAGCTTTACCATATTCTTTTAAAAGTGGGAGAACTACTAAGTTAAATCATAAAAGAAGTAAAGGAAGCTTCCTAGTCTCAATATAGGTTTTAAGGATTTTTATGCATATATAAATTATTTTCAATTTAAAAAGAAAGGACTGACAATTTTATATTCAGAACTGAAAAAAGAAATCTATGCTATGGGAAAATAATTGACTTTACTATATTAGACTAGATTTTCCATTTCTCTTTATTAATGAATATAAACAGATTACTAGTTTTTGCCGCATGTAGTTTGAACCACTGTCATTAGGTGCACACACATTAAGGATTGCTGTCTTTGAAGAAGTGACCCCTTTATCACTACGTGATGTCACTCTTTATCTCTGATAATTTTCCTTGCTCTGAAGTCTACTCTGTATTGATATAGTTACTGTAAATTAATTAATGCACTGATTCAGATTATTTACCTTCAAATATAATTTGAATATGGTGTATAGTACTAAAAATCCACTAAAATAATGTTTTGGGCATTATTCTTACCCAAATATAAAATATTATAGAATTGTCTGCACTATAAAATATAAACACATAAGGAACAACTACCAGGACCAAATGATTTGGTTTACTAGGGATAAAGAAGTCATTTCATAATGATAGGAAGGTATAATAATTCTAACCTTGAATTTTCCTAATAAAATAACCTCCAAATATATGAAGCAAAAATTGGAAACTTGGCAAGTATTCCATTAATGTAAGATATTTAAACATACCTCTCTTATTTATTGATAAGTCAACCAGATAAAAATTAGCAGAGATATAGAAAATTTGAACCAAAAAAGTGATTTAATGGTTTTACATAGAACTTTACATTCCACAGTTAGAGAGCACACACTCTTTTCAGGCACCCATGGAACATTTGTAAAAATCATCCATATACAAAGCCATGAAATAGTTTAAAAAATTTCAAAGAAGTGATATTATACAAAATAAATTCTCTAACCACAGTGGAATGAAGATAAAAATCAGTAACATAAATCTTAACTAAATGATAGACACATTCACATACACACATTTGGAAGTTAACAAGTACACTTTCTAAATTCTTCATGAATCAAAAGACAAGTCATTGAAGAAATTTAAGAAATACTCAGAACTAAACAATTATGAAAATAATACTTATCAGATGATACAAAATTAAGTAATACTTTGAGGGAAGTTTATAGCTTAAAGTGTTTATGTCAAAGTTCATAAAATCTGTGTGGAGATAGTGCTAGCATATTGTTGGTGGGCACTGAAAGAAGTAGTGGGGCTGAGAGGTGCAGCATGAAGAATTCCTTTGTTGGTAGTTTCATGCAGTCTCTTCCTAAGGAGTTTTATGGTCTCTCACTTTTGGTGTAATCCATATTAGGAAGGTAATTTTAAGAAAATATATAATAAAAAGAGATGGTATGTGTGGTAATAATTAATTTTTATTAATTAGTTGAATATCCTTTCTTTTTCATAGCCAGAGGAACAAGGATTATGAGAACCTTTGTAGAAATAGATTAGGCAATGATTTATATGTTGAAAGAATGATGCAGACTATTAATGGAGCACCAAAGAATAAAGATGTCCAATGTGACAGAATTATTAAAGAAGACAAAGGTAATTTATGTTATTCTGCTCGATAAACTATCATGTTTTAATATGCATTCTTTCAGGCTGTCGATTAACAAGTATGTTAATCATGTTTAATATGTTAAACATGATTAACATATTAAACAATGTTAAAATATATAAGGTAAAAATAGAAATAATTTGTCCAAATCACAACAGTAACTGGGTACTGTGATGTACAACTTTCAGAATTTGACCAATAAGTTAACAAATAATAAATATAGATATAGAAGATTTGAATAACACAATTATCAGTGATTTTTATTTAAACTATATCATATAACTTTGTACTCTTCAAATGTTTATTAAACTTTATAGAAACTAATTACTTCTGTTACAAAAAATAGCAACTACAACTATGGTAATACCATTTAACACTTAAACACCACATACATATGTGTTATATTCTCTTCAGTGAATGGTATATATTTCACAATAAAAATTTTATTAAAATAATAAAAGACAGTTTACACTAAGGAATTTGAATATGGATCAAGTAAATGTTAAGGTTTTACAGATATCTTCCTTCACTGATTTTGGATGAAAGTGAAAGAGATTTAGAAGTCAGAGATGGAAATCAAATTATTATCTATATTACTGATAAAGTTAATTGAAAAATATAGCTTTAAATCTGAAGCTAAGTGGACTTGCTTCAAGGATCAAACAGTAGATAACAAGTAAGTCTGAGGGCCTATTTTGAGTCAGGGTCAAAGAGCTGTAAAACTTTAAAAAACAAACTTACTTCTTCCCTGGACCCTTATCATTCAACTGAGAGCATTCTAAACAAAGCAGGTTTCACAGGATTTTACATATTCTTTCTTAGGCCTGATCACCCAGGGGACCCGCCCTTTCCAGCACAGAGCTGCACCGCCCTCTGTCATTGTTTCAGGCTTAGGTGGAGCAAGGAAACTAAGGCAACCAAGAGATAAAGAGATTTTCTCACAGACAATGAGGACTTAGGCTTTGTCAAAGCCGAGGGGCGAGGGTCCATCACCCCCTTTTGCTGTAGCCCCCAAAGTCCTTCCTTGGGGGCCTCCCACATAATCATGCCTGTCTTAGGTTGTTCCCCCCTTGGGGAATCTTACCCATCATTGGCTAACCGACCAAGCATTGGGGGCCAGGCAGGGTGAAGTAAAAGGAGCAGAAGCAGCACTCCTGCCAGGGAGATAAGCTTTTGTCTCCTTGCTGGCTTACTGCCCAAGGTCACTCCCTCAGCCTTAGCCTTGGTGGGGGTTAGAGCTTCTGATACCAGGCAGGGCAGTTCTCAACACCTTCTATGCTCTTCTATAGAATTAGTCATTTCTCTTTCCTTAGTAATAAGTAAATGAGAGACATAGGCCAGAAGGTTAATTTAGCTGAAGTTTCTTCTGTACATGTTCCTAAAAAGTGAGGAAAAATTTTCCCACCTAATAATATATATGTAGTAATTTATGATAAAAATGGCATTATAAATAAATAGATAATATAATAAGTGTATTAGTGTTTCTGGCTAAGTTTTGAAAATATAGTTAAATCTTATAACTTTGTAGGTTTCATAAAACCACTTTGTCTTCTAAATATATAATACTACAATAAAAAGTTTTAAATAAAAGTTTGTGTGATATGATCTTGTTTTATTAAAATATGTACATATTTGATGACATACAAATACACTTGTATGTGAATCTGGAAGGACCAATATCAGAATGTCAGCAGTTATTGTCTCTGGGTGATAGACATACAAGTCATATTTACCTTCCTTTTTTTTTTTTTTCAGTGACCATATCATTTTACTCAGCTAAAAAGTAAAATTATTTTTCTGTAAATGTGATATAACCAATTGCTATTCTTTTACAGTCTGAATTAAACTAAGAAGAAACAATGTTTTTATTGTTGTAAAAACTATTTAGACATATCTGAGACTCAAAAGTGCTTAAAACACAGGTATAGATGGGAATATTTATTATGATACTAGTTAACATAGCTCTCTTTAATAGTTTCTAACAGTATAAAATTGGAAGTTTATAATCATTAATTATTGTTCCATCTTGTAGATGATATTATGGTATGTGGTTTGAAATTTTTCTATTTCTTAGCTTAATTTACTCAAATGAACAAATGTAAAATTACCAAAAGTAAAATTACCAATGTTATTATCTTCAAAGAAACCATTGTAAATCACTCTAATTTTAAATATCTTTTTATAACATGAATATTTTTTATGTAGCAATTATTTTATTAGTGGCTATGTAACAATATACGTCTACATGCACAAACTAATAAACTTTCAGTTAAAGGAAGAAAAAAAGGTTAGGTAATTCAATATTCAAAGACAACTTCTTTCTATGGTCTTCTACTGTATGAACATGGAAATTATACCCTTTTCAATTCAGCAAATATATGGAGTATTTATTCTGTGTATGATTTTGCTAGACACTATTAAAATAAGTTCAAAAGATAGAAATGTTGTTACAAAATGTGAGTTAACACTCCTACTAATTGAAAACATTGTTAAACATCAGAGATCCTTCATTTTATATTATGAAAATAAAGCTTCTAACAATGAAGTAGTTGCATATATTAGATCCAGATCCTGTTTTTATTTTCAGGGGAAAATTCTTTATTAAATCACTATACTTTAATTGGAAGTTTAGTAAGTTTAGCATGTGAGAATATATTGTTATATGGTCACTGATAAAATAATTGCTACATAAGCCTTTCATTTTTATATTAGCAATGAAGGGTTGAGAGCACTTTTTTGGAGGCATTGTAATATTTGCTCATTTGAATAAATAAGATAAACAAAAAATTTTAAATAGAAGTTAAAAGCCATACTACTTTCCTAGTTTTTTGAGATCAGAGTCTGTCATTTTCCCAATTCGTACAATCTTTTCACATAAATATATAGGATTTTTTTTTATAAAATGGAATTGGATAATTATAAATAATAAGTTCTATACAATATAACATGTTGTTATATGTTAACCATAGTAAACACACTTTAAAATCTTGTTATAACATGATTGTCTGGACCCTTGTCAATGCAGTCCATACCAACTGACAGCCTCATGAGGTCATGCTGCACCAGGTTGGGGTAAGGTGGGAGGTGTGGGTGTCAGAGAGGATGGAGAGGTTAATTTGGAGCTATCACTAAGACACTAAAGTATTTGTAGCTGCTAAAAGTGTGAAGGCTAAGGATCTCTTAAGGTGTCTTAATAATTTATTTCTTTTTTATTTTTATCTACTTCCTGCCATTGTGGTTAAACAGTAGTACTTTTTACTAGACAGTAAATTTTTTTTTTTAGATTTTATTTATTTATTTATTTTTAGAGAAGAAAGGGAGGGAGAAAGAGAGAGAGAGAGAAACGTTAATGTGCGGTTGCTGGGGGCCATGGCCTGCAACCCAGGCATGTGCCCTGACTGGGAATCGAACCTGCGATGCTCTGGTTCACAGCCTGTGCTCAATCCATTGAGCTACGCCAGCCAGGACAGATTTTGCTATGACAACTTATAAGCTACAAATTAGAATTTGGTTTATAGTAATTTTTACCTTTCTGTCTCTTAGGCATAATGTCTACTGCTTGGGATTTGTATGATTCTTATAATGCTTCAGAACTTTCATCTGTACCAGTAAGATACTCTACAGTTGATTTAAGTACTAAAGCAAGCGCACCTCCTAAAGATCAAGACCAAAGAGGGCCAGGAAGTACTACAGAAAAAAGTAAGTGTTCAGTTTTTTGAATGATGTTTTTACATGGCATTTTCTTTTTTTTTTTTCCTTGGTGCCACTGTTACAGATGTTTCCCATTGCCCCCTGCTCCTACTTAGTTGTCTGTGTCGATGGGCTACACATATATGCATATACATTCTTTGGCTCATCTCTTCCAGTCCCTCCCACTCCCTCCCCTCCAAGGGGAGTCAATTATCCCCATATCAGATGTCATGGTGAATATGTTCTCTCCTATGATGGGTTCCTTTTTCATTTTGTTGATGGTTTATTTTGCTGTGAAGAAGCTTTTTAGTCATGAAACCATAAAAATCCTAGAAGAAAACATAGGCAGTAAAATCTCAGACATCTTGCATAGCAATTTTTTTGCTGATATATCCCCTAGGGGAAGAGAGGCAAAGGAAAAATGACATTTTCAATAAATTCTTTTTTTAAGCAGTTGCAATATTTTCTTTCTGGTGGACAATGAAAAGTATTTTTGTGTCTCTATTCTTGAGGGATAATGATCTATATCTTTTTTTGTGCCTTCTTTGTCTGGTTTTTGGAAAACAGACTATGATTTCTCTTTTTAAAAATGTTTAAAAATGTCAACTTTACTGTCTAGGATACAGACTATCATGGTATATGTTCCCAGTACACTTGCAAAGAATATGTATTTGACTTTCATTGGATGTCAATATGTTTTGGTTGGTGTTGTTAAGTTCTTTTGTATCCTTGCCGATTTTCTGTCTCGTTATTCTATCAAATCTTGGATTTGTCTTTTTCTTCTCTCAGTTCTATCCATTTTTGCTTTACATAGTTTACAGCCTTATTGTTTTACTGCATAAACATTTAGGATTACTATGTCTTCTTGGTGCAATTATTACATAAAGCTGCTGTATGACTCTGGTAATTTTTTTTTTACTCTGAAGCCAGATTTATCTGATTTTTATGTAGCCACTTATGTTTACCTTTCATTGCTTGCCTAATACATGTTTTTCTTTTCACTATTTTACTTTAAACTTACATATATTGTATATTTCAAATAGATTTCTTATGGACATTACATATTTGGGTCATGATTTTAATCTATGTCAGTTTCTCATTTTAATTGGTATATTTAGACCATTTGTATTTAACGTAACTATAGATACAGTAAGGCTCAAGTCTGCCAATATTTGTTTTCTATTTGTTCTGTCTGGTTTTGTTTCTCTCTTTTTCCCCATCATTCATGTTGGTAATTCAAACACTTTATTTTACAATTCCACTTTATTTATTTATAATGTTTTTTAGTTTTGTCTAGCTTTTTTAGTGTTGTTTTATATATGGTATTATACATACATAGCATCATAATCCACTGGTTTTGACATTTTGCTCATTTAAGTATAGAAATCTTATACTGCCTTTGTATTCTTTTACTCTTCCCTATTTATGTTTCCTCTAAATATCTAGTAGAAATATTTTTACATTTTTTTTACAATATTTTTACATAGAACTACATCAGGCAGTAGTTGACAGTATCAACCATCAAACATAGTTAAGAAACCTCAAGAGAAGGAGAGTGTATTGTATTTATCCACATTTACTTACTGTTCTGTTTTCCCTTTGATGTTTCAGTATTCCTTCTTTTATCATTTCCTTTCTGTTCATAGAACTTCCTTTAGCCATTCTTAGGGAAGATCTACTGGCAGCAAATTCTCTTAGTATTCCTTTATCTGGTAATACTTTAACTTTCCCTTTCATTTCATAGAATACTTTCAGAGGGTATAAAAGTCTGGGTTGAACAGTTCTTTTCTTTCAACAATCAAATAATCTGTGTTACTTCTTTCTGGCTTCCATGAATTCTGGTGAGAAATATGCTGTTATTCAGTGCATTTCCCCTTTATATAAATTGTCATTTCTTTCTCACTGCTTCCTTGATTTTTTTTTGTTTTTACTTTTCAGAACTTTGAATATAATGTGTCTTAGTGTGATTTCTTTGTATTTATCCTCTTTTCAGTTTACTTAGTTTCTTGAATCTGTATGCCATTCTTCTTTGCCAAATTGTGGAAATTTTCAGCTATTATTTCTTCACATACTTTTCAGTCCCTTCCTCTTTCTTCTCTCCTTCTGACATGCCAGTGATCTGAATGTTATTTTGTTTGTTTGTTTCTCTGAGGTTCTATTTTTTTTTCAGACTCTTTTTCTTTCTGTTTTTCAGATAGGTAATTTCTCTTGTTTTCTTCTTAAGCTCACTGACTCTATTCTGCTGTCAAACCACCTGCTTAATTTTAAAATTTTAGTCATTGTCTTTTTCAGTTCTAAAATTTTCATTTGGTTCCTTTGTTGATTTACTAAGACTTTTTATTTCTTTTATGATATTTTCTGTTACTTCATTTGTTTCAAGTGTGCTCATAAATATTTGTTAAAACATTTTTATGATGGCTGCTTTAAACTGTCAGATAATTTAAACATCTGTCATCTTAATATTGCTGTCTATTGATTGTCCTTTTTTTAAATTTAAGCTGAGATTTCCTTGGTTCTTGGTATGATGAATGATGTTTAATTGCAACCTGGAAATTTGGGGCATTATGTTATGAAAGTCAGGATCTTCTTGAAACTTTTCCTTCGCAGGCTTTATTTGACACTATTTTGAGAAGGGAAAGAGGAGTTCACTGCTTCATTACCGTCAGGTGAGGTAGAAGTCCATGTTTTCTACTTGGCCTCCAATGACATTAAGGGATGGGGTCTTCCCGTTACTGCTGGGTGGAAGTGGGTGGGGATCTCTGGCTTCCATTGATAGCTCTATGATTGGGAGGGATAGGGAGTCTCATTACTGTTCCACAAGAGGCCTCAGTTGACACCACAGAGTGGGAATTGGCCTTATTACTGTTGAGCAGTGACGTAAGTTCTTATTTACCAGACTAACTCTGACTATTCTTGTTAGGAGGAGGGTCACCTTGTTACTTCAAGGTGGGTGTGAAATTCCATGTTTCCCAATTGGTCATTATGTTTGATAGGCATGAAGGTCCTAGTTCCCCACTGATCCTTCCCTCACATGATAGCCACTGTGAGGCTGGGAGTTTGGGATACCTTGTTGTAGCCTGGCGCAGGTGGAAGTCTAGGATCCTCACTTGGCCTTTGTGGGATGGGTATTTTTTCCTGTGGTGTTTGTCTGAAGTAGAGTGGTTATCCATACAAGTTTTCTTTCTTGCAAGGTTGTCTTTTTCCCGGTCCTTTGGCTAGAAAGAGGAAGCTTCTTTTTAGACTTTTCTTTGTCTGCATCTATTTCTGTTTCTACATTGCTGTCTTTTTTAGCTCCATGTTTGGAATATATGTGGCAATAAGAAAACCCAGAGAATTCACAACTGTCATTCCTTTTGCCCTGAGAACTATAGTTGCTTTGTCTTCTTCCAAAGACTTTTAAAGCTTTCTTATGTTGTATGTATGTGTGTGTGTGTGTGTGTCTTTCTTATGTCAGTCATTCATATATACATATACATATGTATATGTATATGTATATATGTACACATATATGTATATGTATACATATACATATATATGTATATATATATATTACAGGGGTTTTAGTTGTGTTTAGGAGGAGAAACAGGCAAAAATGTGTGTATGCCATCTTCATGGATGCAGGACTGCCCTTTATTTGGTTTTTAAAATAAGAGCATGCTAAGTCATGTGATACACATCCCCATTCCTGGAACTTGTAAATATATTATCTCACATGGCAAAAAAGACTTTCCATATATAATTGAATAAAGATCTTCAAAGGAGGAGATTATCTTGCATAATCTGCATGGGGCCTATCTAATCACATGTGTACTTAAATGTGGAGGACCTGTCCCAGCTGTGACCAGAGAGAGGTAATCCTGCTGCCTTTGAAGATGGGGCAAGGGTGTGGGTAGCCTAGAAGCTGGAGAAGACAAGGAAATGAATTCTCTTCTAGAGCCTCTGGAAAGGAACAGAACCCTATTGACTTCTTGGTTTTAACCTAGTGAGACCTACATCCAGACTGCTAACCTACAGTACTCTAAGTTAGTAAATTTGCATGTTTTTAATCCACTCTTTTAGATAATTTGTTATAGCATCAATAAAAAATTAATACAGTTGTATAATATTCCTATAAAGCAATAATCAGATCAGACCTTCATCTGAAGACTCATTATCTTATTTTAATTAGAATGAAAATGTATAGAGATTAAAATTGTCTTTTGAAAGACAGTGCATTTTTGAGTGGTTGGTAATTTCAAAATGAGATGATAAATGTATATCTTGCATGTACTTGGTTTATAAAAGACATTCAATAAGTGCCTATCAAAGTTGTTGAGAACTAGAAGAAACAAATAGTAATGACAAAATGTCATTTTTTAAATATTCATAATGCATGAATTATCTAATATTATTTGTATTATTTTATCATTATTATGTTTGTATTTTGTAGATAGTGAAGCTAGTTCTATAATGGAAATAGAAAATGTAATTCTGGCTAAAATGCATGATGATCAAGAAGACCACTCAGATGCAATATTAAAATCTGAAAAGTTTCAGCAGGACTTATTTTTCATGGAACGAGTTCTAATGGAAAATATATTTCAGCCCAAACTTGCAGCTTATCGGCAGCTTCCTATTTTGAAAGGTATTTAAAGAAATAATCACATTTAAACAAACTCAAATAATTTTAAAAATTAAATTTTTTTTATTTTATTTTTAATTAAAAATTAAAATTTTTTCTAAATATTATTATCTAAGTATTATTATTTCTAAATGTAATCAACTGGGCTATCAATTATGAGAATATATGTTTATGTAGCTTTTAGCACTTCTAAATTATTTCTAAATATTAATATCTAAGTATTATTATTTCTAAATGTAATCAACTAGGCTATCAATTATGAGAATATATGTTTATGTAGCTTTCAGCACTGTACATGTCACAGTAGAGTCCAGACTAGAGAACCCACAACAAGTCATAGTCCCTTAGAGTCAAAACTTCACAAGCATCTCTGCCTCCCTCATCCCTGCATTAAGTTATTCTCTCATATCCAACCTTCCTTTTCGATTGCCACTGATACTTCCCAGGTTCTGGTTTCATTACCTCTCCTTAACTTTATTGCAGGATCATTCTTCTTGTTCTCATTGCTACAAATCTCATCTCATGTGTCCTCAGAATATTTTGAAGGATTTTAGAGATTATGTAAAGCAACTTCCCAATATTTGAGTGATGAAAATAAAGGCCATAGAAACTTTCTAAGGTTATATAATCTATTGCAAAGCTTTGAGAAGGGATCCCTTTGGCAGTGTAGTGTCTGCCACAAAAATGTATACTGTTAATATTTCTCCCATAGGGACTAGAGCCTTTTACTAGAATTTCAGGGATTACGAGACGCTGGATCTGAACTGACACTAACTCCCGAAGACAAAACATCACTGTGGTCCATGAGTCAGAGTGTAAAGACATACAGAGGTCAGGTGATCAGTGGAGCTTCAGCTCAGGCCCATCTCACAGTGGGGTCCATTGGGTCATTGATCCCATCCTGTGGTTATCTGCCCTGTTCCCGAATGTGTACTTGGAAGAGAAATTTTCAACCAGTGGCAAAATCCCCACATATGATTGTTGACCTGTAGAGTGAGGGCTATTACGGTAGGAAATGGCTAAGTGAAAGCCACTAGAGTTGCCTCTACCTATGAAAATAGTAAACCAGAGCAATACCACACTTCTGGAGGGATTTTGGAGATTAACGCCACCATCAAGGACATGAAAGATTCAGGAGTATTGATTCCTACAACATCTCCCATTGGATTCCTCCTCCTGGCTTGTGTAGAAAACACATGGATCTTGGAGAATAACAGTGGGGTTATTGCAAATTTAGTGAGATGGTGACTCCAATTGCAGCTGCTGTTCTAGATGAGGTTTCCTTGCCTAAGCAAATTAACATTCCTTAGTACCTGGTGTGTAGTTACTTATACAATGAATGCTTTTTTTCCCAATGCCTGTTGGTAAAAACCACCAGAAGTATTTGCTTTTGGCTTGCCAGGCCAGCAATACACCTTTACTGTCTTAAAAAGGAGTATATCAATTCTTCAGCTTTCTGTCATGATTTAGTCTGCAGGGACTTTTCCTTCAACAAGACATCACACTGGTCCATGATACTGATGGCATCATGTTGACTGGACCTAGTGAATAAGAACTAGACTTACTGGTAAGACAGTTGCATGTAAGTGTGAGAAATAAATCTTACACAATTTCAGGGGCCTTTCACCTCAGTTGAACTGCCAGTGCTGTGGAATGTGTCGAGAATACTTTCATCCAGCTCCTTTTACAATCAAAAAAGAGACATGATACCTAATGGACCTCTTTGTATTTTGGAGGCAACCTATTCCCCCTTTGAATGTGCTGCTCTGGCCCATTGGTTGAGTGTCCTGAAAAGCTGCTAGCTTTGAGGGGGCCCCAGAACAATAGAAGATTCTGCAACAGGCCAGGCAGCAATTCATGGTTCCCTGTCACTATATGATCCAGCAGACCCAGTGGTGCTTGTAGTGTCAGTGGTAGATGGAGATGCTCTTTGGAGCCTTTGGCAGGCTCCCACAGGTAGAGAAGACAGTAATCTTTTTATTTGATCTAATTTTAGAACCAGAACCTGAAGAGCTTGAAGACTTTTCAGAAAGTGAAAAAACTGAAGAGATAGAAGAAGATTTTAAGAAGGAGGAAGAAGAAATAGAAATAAATGAAGAACAATCAATAATACCAGCCAATTTGGAACGACTCTGGTCCTTTTCCTGTGACTTAACCAAAGGACTTAATGTGAGCAGCCTTGCCTGGAATAAAACAAATCCAGTAAGTTATTGAATATTTTAATAATTTAATCTCTAGCATTTAAGGGCCATTGTCAAGCCCTTGAACCTCTAGTTTTAGAATGCCTCTAAAGCAAGTTTATATTTCATAGGGGGGTAGGGAAATGCTAATAGTTACAAAAAATGTTTTTCTTCTTTAATATAAAAACATTACTATTATTGTTTTAGGAGATGTACTCGGGACATGACATTCTCTGAACCCATATCAGATACTGAGAAATGAACTAGAACATAGTATATCATTGATTTATTTTAGCATTTACCAAACTCATGTATCCCAATTTGTATTCTCCTTAAATTAATTGTATTCAGAAGCATATACTTCATCCGGTAACAGTGAAAATGTGCAAACTAATTTTGAGATTCCTTAAAATGCTATCACCATTAATAGTAGCAGGTACTTAAATAGTACTTACTATGTACCAGGCATATTCTAAGCATTTTACTTGTATTCACACAAAAACTCTGCAAGTTAGGTATTAATTTCCCCATTATGTTGATGAGAAAATTGAAGCACAGAAAGGATAAACAACTTGCCTAAAGTTATGCAACGTAAGTGAAACAGTCAATGTTCAAACCCACACATCTGCCTCCGGGTCTCTTGCCCTTAACTACTATATTGCTGAAAATCAACTTTAGACAAATTAGATGAATCATCAAGCTGGGGAGTGGTATGTTTGCTTGTAAAAAAGAGATGATTATAGAGTACTGAGACTTGTTTTCTCCTGGGGTATATACACTGCTTCTGAAGACATGATTTTCAACTAGCTATTCCCAAATTCTTTTATGTAATAGCAATACCTTTGGAATAAATATTTAGTGTATTTTAAAGTGATCAAAACTAACTTATATGTTTAAATTGTACTATGTATAAGAATTAGCCTTATTATTTTATATTTACATCTTTTAAAATACTATGTGAAAATATGATAGTTGTTATGGTTATTAAAAATAGAATGTCTATAATCATTTTTGTTAGAACCTAAATAGCATATAATTTAAATTATGTATATTACTTTTAATGAAATAAAATACTTTTAGTATGGATTTATGTTTATAAAACTATACTTGACGGGGGGAATGGGGACAACTGTGACTGAATAACAACAACAAAAAAGAAACTATACTTGAGAACATCTTGTAGATCATTTATATGCATCTTTATATATTTGCAATATAAGTATGTGATACTCTCTTATATTAAATATATTTTTCTGGTTTTTAGGACCTTTTGGCTGTTGGCTATGGTCATTTTGGATTTAAAGAACAAAAAAAAGGATTGGCTTGCTGCTGGTCAATAAAGAATCCCATGGTAACTCAAACAGGAATAAGACCCAATTGTATTTAATTAAATGCTGATACAGTTATCATAAAATAGATAGTTGTATGTGATAATTAAACAGAGTCAAGACAATTTTTCAAGCAAGACTTTTTTGGTTTAAATACGTAACAATTAAAATTTCTTCTTGCTTATATAAGATTACTTCATTTATAAATTCACTTCTATATATTTATAAATTCATTTAGTAAGTATTTTTTGAGCATCTACTGTATGCTGTTAGATCTGATGATCCAAAGTTGAACCATTATTTTTTTAATCACTGCTAACTACAAAGAGTGAATTTGCAAATGAAAATCCTTTGAAAATTATGTTCCATTTAATACTGGATTGTTTCTTAATATATGAGTAACTCCTTATCACCTTGTAAAATAGATTACTGCTATTTTCAACTCAGAACAGAAATGTAAGGAGAAAAGCTTAGAAAAGGATCAGAAGAGCATATAAAAATAGAGTTTTTATAAATATTCCAAGTCTGTTAGGAAGATGGGTTTCTATAGCACGAAAGAAAGGCAGAAGCAATTTTAAACATGTGGGAGGATCACTATAAGATTCATCATCAGTTGGTTCTCTTCTTTTCCATGTTAAAGGGTGTTAAAAACAAGAAAGCTTTTAGATCAGACATTAAAACAAAACAGTAAAACTTTAGACAGGGTTGAAGAGAGTACCTTAAAGAGTTTTGGAGCCTCTTCCATTACTTAGAAATTATTAGATAATCCAAATGTCTGAAACAGATACTCAAAGATGGGAATATATGTTAGATAATCTCTTTGGAGTTCATTATTTGTTTCTTTAAGAAGGTAGACCTGTGCTGATCATACAAATCCCATTGAAAGATTGCCAAAATATGGTAAGTATTATAAAAGCCCATCCTGTAATTCTTAAAATTAGTGAGCTCTGGGGATTCATCAAAGGAGAGGAAAGGAGGTTTTTTTCACCTCTGTACTGGAGGTTAGGAAAAGAAGAGTAACCAAATGTAGACTAACTCTTACATCCCCATTGCCACCAGGCTGTACTTCAGCCATCATCATGCCCCACCTACTGTGGCCTACCAAGCCAAGTTTTAAATGTAATATACTACTTTTTTTATCTAGTGGCCAGAACGTATTTATCAGAGTCCATATGGAGTTACTGCTGTGGACTTCTCAATTGGAGCACCTAATCTTCTAGCAGTTGGCTATCACAATGGCACCGTTGCAATTTACAATGTGCAGAGCAACAGCAATGTTCCTGTCCTGGATAGTAGGTGAGAATGCAGAGGTTAGATAAATGTGTAATACGTACTTACTTAGGGAAAAGGGGCAAATTACTCTAATGGTTTTGAGTGAATGTATATATTGTTATCGAGAGTGATGCCATTATTTTTCTAACATTTAATAATTCCTCATACTGTCTCTCCAGCTGAATGCTTTGTCCTAACATCTCCTGTGTCTGTTCCTCCGTCCACCTCACCAACAGACTTCCTTTGGCTTGACAGTTTATTCTTACTCTTTCTTTAAATATTTTTTCTCAGCTTTGTTGAGGTATAAGTAGAAAAATTTCATATATTTAGGTTGCACAATATGATTTTTAAAGGTGCCACAATGTGATTTTTAAAGGTATACAATGTGATAATTGAATATATGTATACATTGTGAAGTCATGACCACAATCAAATTAATTAACACATCCACCACCTCACATAGTCATTTTGTGTGTGTGTGTGATGAGAACACTTATGGTCCACTCTCTGTGCAAACTTTGAGTTAAATGGTACAGTATCATTAAGTATAATCACCATGCTGTCCATTAGATCTCCAGCACTTACTCATCTTATAACTGAAAGTTTGTAGTCTTGACTCCTGAGGTGTCACCTATTGAAGGAAACATACCCATTTCTTTCCTTTGTGCATCCTATACACACCTTTATCACAGCACATGTATCACAGCACATGCTGTACAAAAATCATTTACATATATATCATCTTCTGGAGGGGGCTGTAAGCACCCTTAATCCTTTGAGGGCAAGGATTAAGTCTTACTTTTTGCATGCTCAGTACATTTGTCACATGATATTAGATAGGTAACAGAATGACAGTAAGTGTTTAAGGATGAAGGAGTGAAATAAATGTAAACACACAATGCAATATACAGATGATGTATTATAGAATTGTACATTTGAAACATATATAATTTTATTAACCAATGTCACCTCCATAAATTTAATATTTAAAAAAGAGATATAGAATTTTTAAAAGAAAAAAAGATGAGTCATACTGAGAAAATAAAAAAGTTAAAGGGGAAAGGTACTGAATATGTTATGTTTTTATAATAAACTACAATGGGTCAATAAAGAGATAGAATATTAATGTTAGTGTTTGAGTAAACTTGGCTGAAACTCAAAGGAAATAAGCATTAAAGAAGGGGTTCCTAAACTTAACTTTGAAGTTATTTGCATAGTTTTGTAAGTGCTGGCCTCTCTGCTTATTTCCAGGAAGAGCATCCAAAAGTTTTACCAAATAATCAGAGATATCTATGATTTTAAAAAGATTCAGAATTATTATTTTGGAGATTTTGCATAAAAATAATTAAGGGATTCACTAGTAAGAACAGAGCGACCCATTAATCTGATAGAAAAACAGTTAGTAATCTGACAAATGATTTTAAAATTCACTGAGAAGTGAATAAAATTAAAACAACTTATCCATTGAAGCTATGAAAAACATAAAGATCCCTATATATTCAGTATGTCTAAAATAAACTAAATTTAGACAACCAGGAAAAAATAAAAGGAATAGAATAAATGAAATAGGTTTTGAGAAGAAATAACTTGCTTTTGTATTTGTTATGACAGCCAATATAATTAAAGGCAGTAAAAAAAGTTTTTTTAAGAAATGAGAAAAACAACAGTGAATATTAAGTGTCAAAGTTATTATCTTTTCTGTTTTCAAAATATTTAAAGTAAAAGTCTAGTTTTGAACAATGAAAGCATCATTGTATGAGTAGGTCATGGTGTCCTCCAGAGCTATCCTTATCACTTGTACTGCAAGTTTTTTAAAAAAATATTAAAATGATCCTATATTTAGCACTTTTCCCTGTTTCAGCGAGTCCCCTCAGAAACACCTGGGGCCTGTGTGGCAGCTACAGTGGATAGAACAGGACCGAGGGACAACAGGAGACGACAAGAGAGAAATACTGGTTTCTATATCTGCAGACGGGAGAATCTCCAAGTGGGTTATACGGAAAGGACTGTACTGCCATGGTAAAAAGTACATTAAAGATGTATATATTTCCAGTGTTCTTTCTCTTGTTATGTGCTGAATTAAAAATTCCTAGTAAACCACATGTAAGAAGTGGCAAATTTTGGTTTTGCTAAATAAGAAAAGAAAAGAAAACTGGGCTCGGTCATTATTTTTCTAAGCATCTAATTCTGGTATTTGCTAATTTTAATCAAATCACATGCAAAACATGGCAGAAATCATTATTTGCAGATAAGATATTTATCTACAACCATGTGGTAAATAAGATACATATTTTTTTCTTTTACCCTTCTAAAATAATTTTAATAATCAAAGTGGTTTAGGGATGATTTAGAATTTCAGTTGAAACTAGTAACACTCTCAAACACTGTTATATTTGGATACTGACTTTTCCAAGGCAGAAAGCCTTTTCCCCTATTCTCTCCCTGTCTTTTTTCCTTTCTTTTTTCTCTGCCCTACATCATTTTAAAAACTAGTTCAGAACCCTTGACAGTTATCTCTATAATTGCCTGGAACTGTGGCACAGATGTAGCAGAAACAACATACACATGTGATATCACACGGCAGTTGATTTTCTTTCCCTGGTGTATACATGGTCCATTCACCATCCTAGATTCTTCTAACTGCTGAAACATCCTGGTACCAGGAAAAACACATAAAAACCTTCTATTTTCAGAGCCATGAAAAAACAGACCTAATGGCGAAATCACACTGTTTTCCCATGAAGAAAGTAAAAACCTGTACACCTCCATAATTTGAAAACCTTGGGGAGCCTAAGAAATGTAATATTTCTTTTTCTTTAAATAAAGATTTGATGCGTTTGAAGCGAACTACTTTTGGCAGCAACAAAAGAGGAGGGGAAAAGGAAAAGAAAGGTGAAGCTTTGATATCACGACAGGCTCCTGGAATGTGTTTTGCTTTTCATCCCAAGGTAAATTATTTCCATCTATTATTTGCTATTGTATATAACAACCTCTAATAATTCAAGTGTATTAAGATATAAAGCAAGACAAAATGTTAGCATGTTACAATGATTAACACTGTACCTTGTAAATAAAAAAAAATAACAAACATAGCTGCCAGCTGAAGGGAGAATGGCACATTCCAATTGACATTACCACGTCTTTATATACTTTCCAGAGGAAAAGTCTGTATTTCTAGGAACTGTGGCAGGATCCTCTTCACAACTGAATGTTTATCTTGAATGCCTCCCCTTACCCTTGTGTGTCTGCTGCTCTGTCATGCTGACAAGAACCAAATGTACTATATAGTCCTCTGTATCCTCAGTGTGGGTGGTGACATATTTCTGGGGATGAGGAAGGCCACTTAAGTTCATGCTTATTAAGACAAGAATCAAATCAAAGCATAGTTCATGAAGTTCTACTTATTCAGTTACTTTTATCTGAAAATTCTTTGGAGTCAAAAAATCCAGCCTTTATTACACACTTCTAAGAAAACATAGCCTTATGTTTTCTGATAAATATGCAGACCAACACTTGAGCTCCTGTTCTGTTCTATCCTATCATCCAAGTGGTATTTAAGTCTTACTGTGCTACTCTTTCCACTCCCAGCATACTACTTGTTAATGAACCTCAGGAATTTATTATATTTCACTCTTCTAACACTGCTGTCATATTCTAACTGCCTTCAGTTTTAAATTCCTGTAATCTACTCTTCATCTCAACTCTTGAACAGTTTTCAATGTGGGCAGGGCAGTGAGTATTTTCCCACCACAGGACATTTCACAATGTCTTAACATGTATTTAGTTGTTGTAGCTTTAGGAGGTGAGCATGGGGAGGAATGCTATTGACATCTAATGAGCAGAGTCCAGGGGTGCTGCTAAACATTCTGTAATGCATAATACAAGCACCACTGTCATCTCCCCATCCCCAAACATAGAATTAGCTGGCTTAATAGATCTGGACTGAGAAACCCTAGTCTAGTATCCTAGACATGTCCTTGGTGGAAGGAATTCAAGATGATCCTATAGTCCGTAAAGAGAGTTTTACTTCTTCCTATATAATTTGGTTACCTTTTCTTTCTTTTTATTGCCTGATTTCACTCCACACAAGGATGAATGGAAGTGGTAAAAACAGACATCTCTGTCTTGTTCTTGATCTTAGGGAGAAAACATTGAGTCTTTTACTATTAAGTGTGATTATGTATGATATGAGCTGAAAAGACTTTTCAGGAGCTCCCTTTATATTACTATTTGTTGAGAGTTATTTTTTGTCAGGAATGGGTGGCGTGTTTACATTAAATGCTTTTTCTGCATCTATTGATATGATTATATAATTTCTTTTAAAGTTTGTTAATATGGTAAATTACATTGGTTGATTTTTATTTATTTATTTAAATTTTTAAATTGAATGCCAACTTATTTTTTTTAAGATTTTATTTATTCACTTCTAGAGAGGTGGGGAGGGAAGGAGAAAAGAAACCTCAATCTGTGAGAGAAACGTGGATCGGTTCCCTCTCACATGCCTCTAACCAGGGATCTGGTCTACAGCCTGGGCATGTGCCCTGACTGGAAATCGAACTGGTGACCCTTCAATTCACAGGCCACCGCTCAATCCAGCTAGGGCTAAAAGCCAATTTAAAAGACTTCAGTGCCTAAACAGAAAGTTTCCAGGAACATAGGTAACAGTCGTGTTTCTAGCTCCTTCCAGCCATGAAGTCCTGTGAGTACCCCAGCAGCATCAGTCACAAAACCCTAAGACTGGAATATACTTGAGCAATAAGCACTTTCATTTGACTGCCTCTGGGAAATCTCAGGAACTCTACACAAGGACAAAGGACAGACATGCACACAGGCCACTTGGCTCCTACAGTCCCCATACTTCTACAACAGCAACCTCACTTTCCACAGTGCCCCTGGACCTCTGTTGAAGGGGAGCCACTCTCACTGTCTTCCAGTTGACACACTGTTCATAAAGAATCCCTGCCACCCACCTGCCACAGGAAGTCCTGGGGCACCGAGTGGGAAACAGATACAATACACTGAAATGGAGATGGAAGGCACATGCCAGACAATACTATCCACCCTCGATCCTTCACCGCTTTAGACAGTCAACTGTTGTAGAAATATACACCAACAAAGTAGTGTGTGAAGTGGAGAGAACAGTGATGAAAAGAAAACAAAACTAAACATTGTAGTCCCTGGTAAGGGAAAAGAGAAACTAGAAGAAAAGCAAGAGGAATAGAGTTGACATAAACTTTTATCTTCTATCAATACTTGATTTCTCCTTGACCTCCAGTTTGTAGATTATCCAAGAGCAGGGTTGCCAGATTTAGCAGATAAAAGTACAGGAGGCTCACATTAAATTTGAATTTCAGATAAAGAGCAAATAGTGTTTTATTGTATGTCCCAAATATTGTATGGTACATTACTTATACTAAAAAGTTATTTGTACAAAATTATTTTGTTTTTTCAATTTTAATTAAGTTTATAAGAGTAATACTGGTTAATAACACTATATAAGTTTCGGGTATACAACATCTGCATACTCCATTGTGTGCTCACTGCTCTGCTTTTGTTGTGTAGAATATTACTGTGTTTTTCTCTGGTAACCCTATTCAGGAGGTTCAGTTAGCCTGAGGCTACTCTGATCACATCTTGTCAACGCCACAGCAAGACCATCACAGAGCAAAGCACAGACACTTCACCCACCACAGGGGGAAGCCATGTGGTATATGGTCCTTTTAGCTGCCAGACACTCAAAGATCCAGTACTATTTTGGCAGGATGAGAGGGTATGTACATGGTGGAGTTGCCAACCACTATCTGCCAGGTGCAGAAGTTTTTCTTCCATATCAAATAAAGAGGGTAAGAAGTATTGCAACTATGGAGAAGCAGGCCTACTGGGCTGAGGAATCTGATTCATACTGCCCCAGGGCAGGCTGAGCAACTCCAGCTCCCAAGTTCCGGAAAGCTAACATACTCCAACTCTCTCGGAGCAACTGAAAGGCCTCAAAAGGCTGAACACACACACACACACACACACACACACACGCACGCACACACACACACACACACACACACACACACACCCCTAAGATGTACACAGAAGGGAGGAACAGGAATAGAGCAAGATAGCCTTTATAGTAACTTAAGAGGAATGACAGCAAAGGAAAAGTCTCAGAGGGTTCACAGAACTCCTCACAATGACTGGCAAGATGATTTGGTTGGTTGGTTGGTTGGTTTTATTTAGGGGGTCAACCTTCAGTGGTATTTCCTTAAAACGGAAGATGAAAAAAGAACAAATGGCCACAGAGAAGCCTCAGAGACATGGCTTTTCAGAGGGAGTGTTAATTCCACCTTGCCAGGCCCGTGGTGCTATCAGAGTCTCCCAGAAGATCTGGCCATCAGATCCCACATTCAACGCACTCCAGTGATCAGGTGCCAAACCCAGCTCCTGATAACGGGAGAGGAACACTAACAAGTCTTTGAAAGGCATTACTTGCTAAGGTGTGAAGAGAGCCACATTATGCTTTTTTTTTCATAGCCTCTTCCATGGGAATTCCTAGTTCCTATTAACCCAGCATCTTGGAAACTGTGTTTCCAGAGATGTTAATAGGTGTTGCATAGGACCAAAAAAAAAAAAATTCCAGAAAGTATTGCATACTTATTAAAAATTATAAATTTCTGCTGGAGAGGAACCTCTTGAGCTTTTATTTATATAGCTGGTCCCTGGCTTATTTGACCACAGAACCCTTTAAGGAATATCTATTCCCATCTTACAGAACTTTGGGAAATACTGCTTAACCAGTTTTGTGAAAAAGTCTCATCTCAAGAATGGGAAGGATATGTCAACACTGGGAACACCTAGGAATCCAGTGTAAACTAGTTTTTAAAAATCAATGTATTAGAAAGTTTAAGGCAATGATTTGAAAACTGGAGTGCCTCGTCCTTCTGTGAGGCACTTGCTCAATGGTAACTATAGCCAGGGAAGCTGAAGTTCAATTTAAAAGCAGACAGGCAAAAGTCTACAGAAAACTACAAGGCTGCTCTGCTTAGTTGTGGCTTGGCCAGCACAGGAAAGAACAGTGCTCGGTGCTGTCTCTATGGTGTCTTCTCTTACCACTTTGATGGGATGCACAGGCGTGCGCGCTCACACACACGCGTGCACACAGACACACACACCCTCCTAAAGGTGCAGACCAAACTGCATAGCAGCCGTATAGGGACTAGCCTGTCTGTCTTCATTCCTCTGAAAGCCTAGTAACCTGGAGCCTGGTTTCCAGAAGAAGAGACAAATGGCTCTGTTGGCATTGTAAATTGCTGTCAAAGGAATGCCCCCTTACTGTCCATGGATGCAGTCCCGAAGTACCACCCCGAAAGCTTTAAGAGGACACACTTCTTGGTTTTCTTTTTGGCAGGGTAAAACATAGCCCAGAGAGCTTCTGAAAATACTCCATTCTGCATCAGAGCAGAACATCCCAAATACTTCACAGCCCCCATCTGTTTAGCCAAGGAAGTGCCTTGCTGAGGAGTTATGGGCACTAGGCTCTGTTCCTTCAGCTTCTTCACTGTCTCAAGGTCACTCTTCCAGTCCCTCCTGGTGCCTACCAGCAGAAGAGGTACATTGGAGCAATGGTGGAAGGCCTCTGAGTGCCATTTATGCCTCACATTGTCATAAGAGGATGGGCTGCTGATGGAAAACAGATGATCAAGATAGAAGTCTGGGGGTAGGAGAGTGTTCTCAGTCGATCACATTCTGTTGACCAGCTGTGTCCCACAGGTTCAGGCTGATGGTTTAGCCATCCACAGATGTCTAGGTGCTATAGTTGTCAAAGACAGTGGGGATATACCCTTCTGGAATTTTGCTGTGTAATTGATGAGGAGGCAGGCCTTAGCCTCAATCCCATCTCCTACAACCATGCAGTTGACTGTCTGCAGTCTTCCCTTGGAGTCCACAGACTTCTAGAGGACAGGCTTCAGTGGGTCCTAAAAGCCATCTCTGATGTTATGTGCAATCCTGTAAGTATGTGTCTAAGCAGATTTTTCCTGCAAAGTGGTCATTGTCCCGTGTGGTTCAATTGCCGCAGGGAGAGCCTCCCAGTGTTTCTTTCCTGGTTGATTTTTACATGTTTATTCCTTCTGGAGTAAACCCCACTTGATCTCGATCTACCCTTATAATATAATGTTGGATTTAAGATGCTAAAATTTTGTTTAGACTCTTAATATCTTTCTTTGTAAGACATACTGGTTTATAGTTTTCCTTTCTGGTAATGTCTTTGTCTGGTTTTGGTATCAAGGTAATCCTGGCCTCACAGAATAAGTTGAAAAGTGTTCCCCTTTCTTTACTTTTTTGAAAGAATTTGCATACAATTAGTATTATTATTCATTACGTGTTGGATAGAATTAATAAACCATTTCGTCCTTGAGTTTTCTTTTGGGAAGATATTTAACTTTTAACTAAAATTCAAATTTTTAATAGTATAGAACTATTATATTGTTGCGCGTGGGTCACCGGCCAGCAGTGACCACGGAACGCTGTGGATGGCTCGCCGAAACACACGCGAGAAAAAACAACACATGCACAGAGACAAGCTAGTTTCTGTGGGGAAGTAGGGACGAAATGGCCCCCCCCCTAGTGGGGAGCGCGCCGATTTACAGTCCATACCTGCTTTTATTGGGCTCATTTTGCGTAATAATTCAGGTAAAGTACAGTACTCATTAGGGGGAAGTAAGGAACCATAGAAAACAAAGAACTCTGTCGGTCTATTGAGTTGGGGGTCAAAGAGCTGTAAGACTGAGGAACAAACTAACTTCCTCCTAAGACCCTTCTCATTCAACTGAGAGCATTCTAAACAAAGGAGGTTTCACAGTAATTTACATGTTCTTTCTTAGGCCTGATCACCCCAGGAAATCCGCACTTCTCAGTACCAAGCCGTACCACCCTGTCATTGTTTCAGGCTTAGGTGGAGCGCGGGAACTAAGGCAACCGAGAGATAAGGAGATTTTCTTCCAGACGCTGAGAACTCAGACTTTGTCAAAGCCAAGGAGTGAGGGTCCATCACCCCCTTTTGCTGCAGCCCCCCAAGTCCTTCTTTTGGGGGCCTCCCAAAGTGATCGTGCCTGGCTTAGGTCGTTCCCCCCGTGGGGAATCTTACCCGTCTTTGGCTAACCAACCAAGCTTTTGGGGGTTCAGTCATGAATAAAGCAGCAGAAGCAGCATTCCTGCCAGGAAGACAAGCTTTTGTCTCCTTGCCGGCTTACGGTTCCAACGGCGTTCCCTTAGCCTTAGCTAGGCGGGGGTTTCAGCCTCTGATACCAGTCAGGGCGGTTCCCAACATTATATCTTTTTCTTCTTGAGTGAGGTAATTGATATCTTTCAAGGAATTTATTTTTAAATCACATTTGTTGAATTTAGTGGCATAATAATATTCCCTTAGTGTCTTTTAATAGCTGTAAAGTATGTAGTGATGTCACCTGTCTAATTCCTAATGTTAGTAATTTGTGTCTTCTCTCGCTCTCTTTTTTTCTGATTAGTCTGGCTAGAAGTTTATACATTTTATTGATGCCAAAGAACCAGTTTTTGATTTCTCTGATTTTTGTTACGCTTTTTCTGTTTTCGATATCATTGATTTATAGTTTGATATTTATTATTTCATTACTTCTAATTTGGTTTTATATGCTCTTTTTTTCTAGTTTCTTAATGTGAAAGATGAGATCGTTGATTTGTGACCTTTCTTCCTCATATAGATGACTGTGCTATAACTTTTCCCCAAAGTGCTGCTTTGCCAGCACCCCACAAACTGATATGCTCTATTTTCATTTTCACCCCTAGTTTCTCCTTTGTGTTCTCCTTTGATCAACAGGTTATTCAGAAAAACATTATTTAATTCTAAATATTTGGGTGTTTCCAAGGATCTTTCTGTTATTAATTTTTTATTCAATATCATCATCAGAGAACAAACTTAAAAAAAATGAATCCTTTTGGATCTTTTGAGATTTGTTTTAAAACCCAGAATGTTATCTTTACTGGTAAATGTTCCCTGTGTGCTTGAAAATATACATATATTCTGCTGTTTTGGGGTGGAATCTTCTATCAATATCGGTCAGATTAAGTTATTCAAGTAACTTAATGATCGTGTTATTCAAGTTTACCATATCTGGATTATTTTGTGTTTATTTCTTTCATCCATTACTTAGAAAGAGGTATTGTGGTTTCTGACCATAATTGTGGATTTTTATATTTTTCTTTGTAATTCTATCAGCTTTTGATTTATGTGTTTTGAAGCTTTATTTTAGGTACCTAAATATATAGAATTATTATATTCTCTTGATTAATCAACTCTTTTATCATTATGAAACAGTATTATTTACAACTGGCAATATTCTTTATTCTGAAGCCTATACAGTCTGATACTACTGTAGCCACTCCAGCTTTCTTTTAACTAGTGTTAGCATAGTTTACCACTTTCCATTCTTTTACATTTAACCTATTTGTATCTTTATATTATTTATTTAATTATTTTTGTTTATTTTTAATGTATTTGTTCCATTACCATTTATCCCCCCATACCATCTTCCACCTCTACCCACCCCCCTAACCCCCCACAATCACCACACTGTTGTTTGTGTTCATGAGTTCTTTCTGTCTTTCTTTTTGTTTCTTTTTTGTATCTTTATATTTAAAGTACATTTCTTACAGGCAACATATAGCTGGGTTTTGCTTTATTATCCAATCTTACAATCTCTGCTTTTTAATTGTGATGTTTAGACCATTTATGTTTAGTTTGATTATTGATATTGTTTGGTTTGAGTCTATTATCCTGCTTGCCTATTTTTTTGGTATGTGTATTGAGTGTAATATGTCTGGCCTCCTTGCCTAGAGGCAGAATTCTGAAAAGCTATCTCAGCAACAGAGCTTCTTATAGGTTGTGCTGAGACTTCTGTTGTAACTGAGCTATGGTTCAACTTAAACCTCTGCCCATTCCTATTTTCCTCAAAGAAGTTGTTCCTGAGAAAATGCCCCAATACATTTCTTGCATGGAAATCTCTGTGTCTCAGAGTTTATACACTGAAGTACCCAACTTTAGGCAGTAATCTCTAGAGAAAAATAACCTGCTTCTAAGTGGTGTTGGAATAATCATTACTCATGTAAAAATTAGATTTAGATGTCTACCCTATCATACTTGAAAAAACTTTCAGAAAGAAATGTAGAAGAATATCTCTATGACCTCAAAGTCAGAAGAACTTCTTAAACAAAGCACAAAAAGTGTCATATTTGTATCCAGCTATGTTAAAATGAGAGCTATTATTTACCAAAAAACACTAAAAAATTAAAAGCCATACACTGGGAAAAGATAATTGCAACATATTTAATAGATAAAGCACATGGAATAGAATATATAAAGAACTTACACAAAGGAATATGAAAAAGATAGATTATTAGTAAAATGGTAAAAAATATGAACAGAAGAGGAAATAAAATGTGCTCAACATTGTTAATATTCACATAAACAGCACTCAAAGCCATTAGGTATGATTTTATACCTAAGAGATGGCAAAATTTAAGATATTTGATATAACCAACTGTCGAAGAGGATGCAGATCAAAGGGAATTTTCATTTACCACTGAATGTGTATCAGTCATACTACTTTGGGGAAAAATGGTATTTTTTGTGTCATTTAAAACTGCATATACCCCATGATCTAGTAGTTGCATTCATAAGTACTGTTATACACTAGAGCAGTGTGTCTCAAATTTTAATGTACATATAAATTATTTGGAAATCTTGTGAAAATGCAGTTTCTGATTCAGTAGGTCTGGAATAAGGCCGGAGATTCTGTAGCTCTAAAATGCTCCCAGGTGATGCTGACCCCATATGGTTAGGATATTGAACACTCACTTTCAGACTTTTTGATTATGACTTCACTATAGGAAATACATTTGAAATCCCTATTTAATATATACATTTAGAGTTACAGATTTCTGAGGCACCATCTAGTTCAATTTCTCCTTCCCAGCAAGAATCATTTCTTCAGCATTATATACATAAATAGTTATTGTTAAGTCATCTGTCTGCTCCTTGACTAGTTCTAATGAAAGAGTACTTACTATTTCTCTGGAGTGCTAGTTCCATTGTCAGATAGCTCTTAGTGTTAAAAAGTTTCTTCCTCATTTTAAGCCAATATTTGTCCATGCAATTTCTAGATAGGATGCTAAGTTCTGTCCTCTGTTGCAGCAAAGAACAAATCTGTATTTTCTTTCCACAGTAGGCCTTCAGGTAGTTTAATTACTGTAAAATCATGATCAAAAGATGACAACAGTTATCTTTAAGATAGTATTTCTAGTTTGGGTTCTTCAGTTGGTTATAACATCTTGAATGTTCTAATCTTCTACATAGCAATTTACTAATATATCACAATCCAGTGCATTTTTATTTTTTGTGTTGTAGGACACAAATATCTATTTGGCTGGCACTGAAGAAGGTCATATCCACAAGTGCTCTTGTTCATACAATGAACAATACCTAGATACCTACAGAGGACATAAGGTTAGTTTAATTATAATAAGCACAGAAAAATTTACCTTGTAATGTTTCTGAAACAATAATATCATTATACATAGTATTTTTAATATGCAGTACATTTACAGCTTCAGATTTAAAAATGCCAACTCCCTGCTCTCTTACATGGAAACCACCAATAATAATGCATGGGGCATTTGATTTGGCTTCCAGATATCCTCGATTTCTTTTTGCACATTATGGAAGTCATATTTTTTATTTGCTGACTTATTGTTTATTTGTTGACATTTTTTATTTATTTGAAAGACTTTGCTTATGATAACATACTAATCCCAAAGTAAAATACTCTCTTGCATATACCTATTCTTCATATCTTTTTTGATTGTTTCAGGTTTTCTTCATTTCTGTTTTTTCTTAATACACCTTATATTTAAAGTAAATGTGTATAATATGTATTAATATTTAGTGAGTATTATGTCAACTATATTTTTATATTTCTGTATGGCATAATTTAGAAAAGATTCCATTTATGAGCTTACTCTCAGCTAAAATAATACCCACATAATAATGCATGGTGGATAAATCTTCTAGAAATCTTAGCATTTTAAATTTGTTGGTGAAGTTTAAAGTGTCCGATATTAAATACTCTCTACCTATGTGTTTTAATTTATTTTTAATTTAAGGGTCCAGTGTATAAAATAGCATGGAATCCATTTTGTCATGATGTATTCTTAAGCTGTTCTGCCGACTGGGGTGTTATTATATGGCAACAGGAAAATCCCAAGCCATTTTTGAGTTTTTATCCAACTACTCATGTTGTTTATGATGTTGCCTGGTCTCCAAAATCATCCTATATATTTGCAGCTGCGAATGAGAGCAGAGTGGAGATTTGGGACCTTCGCACCAGCACGTAAGTGTTAGTATTTTTTTTTTAGGGATATTTCTAGTAGCAGCAGTTCAAACTAAATGATACCTGATAGTTTGAACATTGGTCAGATGGAACTGCTCAGGGTCGGGAGAAAGTAGATTTACAGTTGTTCGTATGGAAAATAGTACAATAATTAATATATAATAATATAAGAATAAACTGTGTTTTGGGTACTCATACCTGTAAACCTACTTTTGCCCAACCCTGTATTTACTTTTAAACAAGGATAGTTTACACTTGTGAGAGTCCTTTTAGAATAAAAATGTATGTTGGGGTGCCATATTACTATTAATAATTTATGTGGTTTTAAAAGTATTTGAACTGCAATAGGTTATATTATTCATCTCCTCAAATGATGACAGGCTGATGAATGATATCATAAACCTCTAATTCTTTTTAATTGCCTGGTTTATATAAGAATGCAGAGGCAGTTAATTTTTTTAACTAAATATTTTTCTACAAGATAAAGAAAAGGAACAACATAATTATTTTTTACAAATATACTTATTCTCATATCTTCTTTCAAAACATATCAAAGAGCATGTATATAATTAACATTTTTGAGTTAAGATGTTACACAAAAGTTAGTAGAGTGTCATTTGCACCCACCTATTCTTTTTTTTAACTTTACTTTTATTGCTGACACTATGTCGGCATTTTCGCCCTCTGCCTGCCTCCACCCAGCCCCCATCCCCGCTCCCCTCTGGCCATCACCACACTGCTGTCTGTGTCTGTGGGTGATGCACTCGGGTTCTTTGGCTAATCCCCTCACCTTCTTCCAGCCAGTGCCCCCTCCCCCCTCCCCTCTAACAGCTGTCAGTCTGTACACCCATTTATTCTTTTTAATATGTAAGTTTATGTAATGCTGCAATAGTGTTTAATGATGAATGCTTCAATGGGAAAATATTACAGATCTTTAAGTCAGTTTTTAGCAGAAGGGGCAAGGAAAAAAATTCTTGTTTAAAATAAATAATGTAAAATTCAATAAGTTTATTCTTAATGGCAAACTTTTTACATAAGAGTTAGTAATTTAGTAATTTTAAAATTTTGTATGTCTTGTTCTATAAAACAGTTTGTACCACAAATCAAGGATTACATCACAAAGCAATTTATTTTTGAGTATGAGATGACTAATGTATAAAGTGGCTACTTAAATGATCCCACCTCCGATTTTAATTTTTTCGATAAAACTTGCAGCTTCTAAGACAGCATTTCTGTGGAAGGAATATTCAAGTTGCTGCTTCTGTTTGTGTTTTAAGGGCATTGATGGATGCTTTGGATGACCAGAGTAGGAAAAACTCTTGTTCAAAATATTGTTTTATGTTTCAGAAGTTCATTTGAACCAAAATATCCTTTTATTAAAATAAGTTTATAATTTAAGGAATTGTGTTAGTCAGGGAAACAGACCCATAAAGAGAAGGCGGAAGGAGAGGGTGGGGGAGGGAAAGAGAAAGAGACAGAAAGAGATTGATATTTATTTTCGGGAGTTGGCGCCCATCGTCGTGGTGCCCACCAAGTCCCAACTCTGCCCACCAGCCTGGCAGTCTGGCACGTTCATCAGAAGTCCGTGCTGCAGTGCAGAGTCCGAAGGCAGTCGGGAGGCAGAAGGGAGGCAGACTTTCACTCCACTTCGGGGAGCTCAGTCTTTTCTCTTAAGGCCTTCAACAAATTGGATGAGTCCTACCCATCCACATTCTGTAGGGCAAACTGCTTTGTTCAAATGCTACTGATTTAATTGTTAATTATATTTTAAAAATACCTTCGTAAGCACGTGTAGATGGGTGTTTGAGCAAACAACTGAGTACCCTGGTCTAGCCGAGTTAATACATGAAATTAACCATCACAGGATTTCAACTTGTAAATTCACACCTTAATTGTGAATTACTTTAATTTATCTAGCTAAAATGGAAAGTTTTGATGAATAAGGAGTAAGAAACACTTATTTTGATTTTGAAAACACTTAAAGAAGCTTTTGGTTTTTGTTACATGAGATCACCAAAAATATATCAGACTTTTCTTAGTCTGTATATATGACAAACAAATTAACAGCAACTGAATTTACATCTAAAATATTTCACTACAGTTTGGATCCTCTAATTGTGAATGTTGCCAACCCTGGAATCAAGTTCACAACTGTTCTCTTCGCTAAACAAACAGATTGCCTTCTAGTGGGAGACAGTGATGGACAGGTTGCTGTGTATGAACTAAGAAATATACCCACTGCTTTGGATTCTGGCCGGGTAAGACTCAGAAGTCAAAAGTCTGTGTAATTTCATTTTATTTAGTTGCAATTTTGTATAGTGCAAGGGATTTACATTTCTTATATCTTAAGTGAGGTGTGATGGCAGTCCCAAGAATTGCTGCTGACTAGGTATTGGTCCTACACTTATTTTCTTTGAGCCATACATTCTCTATCTGTGAAATAAGAATAATAATTTTGTGGAAAATAATAATTATAAATGTTATATAAAGAACTTAAAATTGTGCCCAGTATACATTTAGAGCTTAATAACTATTCAATATAGCTGAAGAAATAATTGTTAAATATTACTGCAAATACTCAAAGACTTTTACAAGAAATAGTATTTTTAGATATTATCCAACATTCCTAATGAACAGGCATTTATTTCTACTGGTTTAGGATTATCTTATTACCTTTCTCTAATCTTCAAATACCAAAACTGTGTTGTAAAACTTTGAAAAGCAAAGCAATATGAATGTCCATTATTTAAAGTGGCTTTTCAAGTTTTTGTTTCTTACATTTAAATGTGTTTCTTTAAAATATTAAAATATTCACAAATTGTTAAGAAAAAATACGAAGACTCTAATAGAAGAGTGGGAAATGATTAGAAATGTCATTTACAAAAAATGACTGGAATATTATACTTTAAAATTTAACCTCACTAATAATTACAGAAATGAAAGTGTATTATATTAAATTAAATTGTGACAGCATTCTTACATGTCAAATTTATCAAGATTTTCTAAATGGGATTGCTCAATACTGGCCAACAGTTGATAAGATAGGTCCTCTACTGCACTGATGGTTGAAATAGAAATTGGCAGAACTTTGGGAGCAATTAATCAGTATGAACCAAGACTGTCCACTTCTGGGACTCCATCCTATACAAATATCCATAGAGATAATCAAAGAAATTAATTATAGCATAATTTATGATGGGATAAAAAAGAAAACGTGAAAAAGAAGAAAAAAACAACTTAAGCATCCAACCAGAGGGAAATGTGGCCAGAGAAGTCAGATGTGTTGATTAGATTTGGGTCACAAGTAGGAGGTGGAGTTTTACTGCAACCATAACCATTTATTTGACTGAAAAATATTAAATAAATAAATACCAGGGGAGTGGGCTGGGATGGGGTAAAAGGCAGAAAACTGTACTTGAACAACAATTAAGATAAAAAGAGAAAAAATCGATAAATTTAAATTAAAATCACAAATTTATTTGTTAGACAATTAATTATGACAAATTGTCTTACATGCAATGAATAGTTAAAATACCAAATATAAAAAATTCATTAGTACAAAAAATAGTAAAATTATGTTTGATTTGCTGCATTATTTCCATATATAATTCTTATTCTTCTGAAGATAAAATTATGTTTTCCTGATAAAGAAATAAGTAAAACACTAAGGAATTTTGGAGATTATTTTCTCAACTGGCTGAAATGCCTATTGACTGTGGACGTTGAAGGGGATTTTCCTAACTACCTTGGCTGCCAGGCCAAGGCCTGTTTTAGGTTCATTTCTCAGTGTCCTCCTCATGGGGTGGTCTCCACGCCCATGTCTCCTGGAGTCTAGTTACCTGGTACTTGCATTCTCCCTCTTTGCACAGAGGTCTGCAACCCTGCACCTGTGACTGCATCACTTCATTGATTTCTCATTTATTTACTGTGTAATTAATTCTAAATTACTAGAGTTTTCCTGTCTGGTAGGAGTGCTGTCTTTATAGATGTTTAAATGATACCTGTTTGGCTTCTACATGCCTCCCAGAGCTTTGTTCAACCTGTCGGTCATCTGAAAGAGTGCTAATGAGAAAAGACTGTTTACAACAGCTTTGTTTCCATGCTGATAAATTGGAAACAACCTAAGTGATCTTTAGTGGAGAAGTGGGTAAATAAAATACGGCACATTCACATGAGTGACTATAATACAAAAGTTGAAATAATATTTATTTCAATGTGTTAATATGACAAATTTTGAATAAATCTTAAAAAACATAGTGTTAAGTGATAAAAGCAAATTTCAGGAATGTTGTGATTGATGTGATGATATTTAAACACAAAAATTAAAACTGTTCTTAGCTGACATATTTATAGTTAGTAAATATATAGATTGGCGTGTGGAAGAAAATGTTTCATTTTTGTGTTTGGATTTGAATCAATTAGAGACATCTTTTATTTTGAGCAGTCTGCCATGCAAGCAGAAAGAAGACTAAACTCAGAGTCTGAACATTTTTGTTTCTTATTTTTACTGTTGACACTATTATAGATGCCTCCCATTCTCCTCCTCCACCCAGCCACCTCCACCCAGTCCCCTGCCCCAGCCTTCTCCACACTATTGTCTGTGTCTGTGGGCTGTACATGTATGTTCTTTGGCAAATCTCTTCAACATTTTGACAAACTGGTATATATTTGCTAATGACTTCAATGCTGGTGAGCAAAATTTTCTGTTAACAAATACATTCCATATATTAATAAATGAATACAGTTTCCTAATACAAATAAGTTTTTTTTTATAATTTTGGTCATAGTATTTTAAAGGTGAAAGATTATATTTCTGGGAGACTAAACAAACTATTAGTCAGTTTTTATTTTACTTACAGCCAAACATGAGCTTAGCTCATATACCTCTTTCTTTTCTTAGCTTTTCAGAGAATTATAATCTCTGAATTGTTTTTGGGCTGGCCAAAAAATTTGTTTAGCCTTTTCAGTAAGATGGTTCTAGTAATACCCAGCTGACTTCACTCAAAACAATTTTGTTAGATTGTATTGTGACAGCTGTCATATCAGTGTGCATTAAAAAAAGACATCAAAATTGGTGGAATTTTTGTGCAGGCATTTTAATATTAAAGATGGAAGAAAATATGCAACATTTTCTGTGTATTATGCATTACTTTCAAGAAAGGTAAAAACACAACTGAAACACACAAAAAAGATTTATTCAGTATGAAGAGAAGATGCTGTGACTGATCAAATGCATCAGAAGTGATTTGTGAAGTTTCTTGGTACTATTGACATTTTGGCCAAATAATTCTTTGTTGTGGGACTGTTTTATCCATTGGAAAATGTTTAGCAGCACCCCTGGCCTCTACCCATTTGAAGCCAATAGTGGGAGGTAGTCAACATAATCAAAATATCCAAATCAATGAAGTTATTGATAAAAATGAAAGATGTGTGTTATATTTTATGGAAAAAATTAGCCCCTGGCTGGCGTAGCTCAGCGGATTGAGCGCGGGCTGGGAACCAAAGTGTCCCAGGTTCGATTCCCGGCCAGGGTACATTCCTGGGTTGCAGACCAGAACCCCCAGCAACCACACATTGATGTTTCTCTCTCTCTCTCTCTCTCTATCTCCCTCCCTTCCCTCTCTAAAAATAAATAAATAAATAAATAAATAATCTTAAAAAAAAAAAAGAATAATGCTCCTTAAAAAAAAAAAAAAGAAAAGAAAAAATTAAATGGAGTTTTGGCCAACACAATATAACAGTAATTTGAAACCTCAGACTAATTGATGTCAAATCATTATTTTCTATCAAGATATCTTTTCAAGTAACATTATGACCTATAATTTCCCCATTAATTCTAACCAAGAGTGAATCAAAATTTTGGAGGGCTTATGATTTTAGTCTATAGGAAAATGTATATCAAATTTATGGGAAAGGCTGTCTCTGGAAAATGAATGCTGATTCAAGAACAGGATTGGGGAGGGTTACAAAGGAAACTTCAACCTCATCAGTAAGTTTTTATATCTTTTATAATAAAGTATCTAAGGCAAAGATGACATTTGTTGATTTGGAGCGGATAGTATTTTACAAAGGCAAAGTACCAGACAGCACATTCAGTAAGTGTGCTGAAGTAGGGTTCACTGGGGGAACCCATGGAGAAAGGATCAACAGCAGTTTTAGGGGCTGCCCCTCATCTCTGCATCGCCTATCACCCTTTGTGGCGTTGGAAGGCAAGAGAATGGGCAGGGGAAGGATTCTTGGGTTGTGGAGGTTTTGAGGGACAAGATTCCTGAAACTCTGGCCCCTCCCTGATGTGATCAAAAAACCAGAACATTACTGCGCTGTGACATGCAGAACATTAGCTCCAGCCCTATCCCATCAAATCAGGTTCATGGGCAGGTGTAACATCAGTCTGGTTCCTGGCACGAACAGGAACCTGGGGGTTCAAGCCTTGCAATTTTATAGTAAGCAATGTAGCTAGCTGTCGACAGGATTTACCACCACATTAGCATTTGTTTGTTGAAACATGAACTCCTCTCCTGGCAAAATGAGGTTTGGTGCTGGGGGCCTAAGTCCACAGAAATATAGTTTAAACTTTTGGCAGAAGCTAATTTCAATGGGGCATTACGCAAAGAAACTCCTTTCTTGGGGGCAGCCTGTAGAGAATTATTCCTGGATATAATTTCCACTCTTATGTTTCAGCATACAAACGTTTGCCATCTTTTTCTATGTACTTTGGGTGTTTTTACCTATCCCCTCTAAATTAAAGGAAAAATAAAAGGCAAGTAAAATCTTCAAAATAGAGTTTTAGAAACAGAAATACACACACGATAAATTAATGCTGAGAGACACGGAAGGCAGAATAAGTAGACCATGCTTTCAACAAATATTTACTGAATATGCACTATGGCAGGGTCTGTTTTGGGCAATAAGAACAGAACAGTGAACAAATTACAGTAGTAATGTATTATATTTGCCCAAGTGAAACTGAGCTAGAAAGAGATGGGGTTGAGAAGCAGCCTGGCAACTGACTCGGAGGGTCAGGACTTGAAGGGTGGCGAGGTGCCAAGGAGAATTGTAGTACAGGCTAAAATAGGGCAGAAACTGACTTACACATGTTACATAAAATGTTTATCATTCTTTAGAGTTTTACAACACTTTCATATACATTAGCTCATTCAGCTCTTATAACAATATTTAGAAATGTATGTTAAATATTTCTATTATACATTCAAAGAAACTAAGATTCCTAGATGAAAGTGATTTTCTCAGGATTACCTTAACTATGTGATTGAGAAATCTCCCATCTTCTGCATCCAATGGCCATTTCTTCACTATATCGTTATTAAAAATAACCTCCCATCTTTAGTTTCACCCTCTTACATGTGATCATTTACTCCTTCCGTACAAAGATCATTATTATTAAGTGTAACACAAAATCCACATAGAAATTCAGACATTTTACTCTCTCTAAAACAAGTACTACAGATCATGGAAAAGCCTAAGATATTAATAGGATTAAAAGTTAGTTTACAGATGAGAAAACTCAGGTTTATGCATTAAGTTAAACAGGAGCTGCTAAAATTGTTTCTTTACTGAATTCTTGTAAAACTGTTTAATCAAATTTCAGTAAAAGAGTCTTTCAAAGGAAAGAACAGGTTTATACTAGGAAGTAACTGTTATTTGAACTTACCTGGTTGTGTTTCCTTTTTACAATCTTATTGGATGTCTTTTACACATGTATCGCTAACATAAATTTGTAATGACATTTTAAAAACCACTTTATCTCTCAACTTGTATTTTATTGCATTGTAACTGTGTGACTTTTTTTCTTTTCAGAGAGATATGATAGATACTTTGCTCGGACCCAGTTCAAACCAACCAGGATAATTCGTCATTACCGATACACCTTTTCTTGTTATTGTTTTAAAAAAAGAAAGTGTTTAATACCCAGTAGTCTGATTTGGATGTAATGACCTGGAATTTTGATTTTAAAAACAATGTTTAATGTATAGCCTCTGTTTAAATTTAATGTAAATTTAATTAACTTTTATTTCAGAGATCTGTGATGAGTTTTTCTAAGCCAGTTTTAAGGGTATTGTTGGTATTAATTTTTGAATGGTACTTCTACTCTATTTCTTGATCATATCCCAAGTCACATACATGTCTAAGTATGTTAGAAAGTTATTATTCCTTAAAAGAAAAGCTTGGAAATTATTACAATTACTTAAATAAAAATCTCTGTTAAGACAAAATTTCATACACTTAAATTGATATGTCAATTATGCAGGTGTTAGTATTTTGAGAATATTGGATTCTCATACTCAACTTTAAATCAAATTATGTCCTCCTAGATCTGAGAGCTGCAGTTATAGAACTTCATTAGATTATTGGACAAACAAAAGACATGACAGCAAATATCTGAAGTGCACTGTTTGACCAGCAGGCATGAGACTCCCAATTCAGTGAGAAGAGTTAGTCTGGGACATATCAGGGCACCCCCCTCTGCACACCCAGAATTTGCTCTGGGTTTCAAGCCCAGACTTAAGTGGGCCCATGGAGAAAACAGAGAGTTCCCGATCTATACTCGTAGTTTGCATCAGGGTGTTATTTTATAATGGGTTCTAGGGCAAACTTGTGGAAATAGAAGGAGTGGGAGTCAGTAGCTCCTCTAAATATAGATTGCCGACAGTCTGTTCCCTGCTGCTTTAACAAGTCCTGGGTTTTGTTAACCGAGGCTCTAGGATGGTATGGCCTATGAAGAGGACAGGATAAGGCATTTAAAGCTCACTAAACTCTCAGAAAAATGTATATATTAAAAACAGAATGCATGCAATGGTGGGAACTATCTTTTACAAATATCAATTTCTTCAAAATGACCATTGCTTTGGAGCCATCCTGTAAACAAAAGCAACACAATTTTAGGTGGGCTGAGAGCTTAGGTCAGGTTATAAGGAAGATAAATCTTCCACTGGTGTAAGTCATGGGGGTGCCTCCTCTTGTCTTTCTGTAAAGGTTGGGCTTTCCCTAACACTTTGTGCAATAAAATAAAAACCCGATTTCATTGAAAAAATTGTTTCTTTTCATTATGTATTTTTGATCTTTAAAATTTTTTCACATATTCTCCTCTCATTGCTCATCAAGCCTAAATGAAAAAATAAAGCTATTTTATGCTTCTTGGATCCTGAAGGACTAACATTATTCCATCCCACCTTTCTCAACCCTGATCTTGTAGACTCTCCCTTACTTTTAGATCAGCGTCAAATTTTTACTTTCAGATTTTAACCTGAGAGTTACAGAAATTGCAGAAGGTATTATTTTGCTAGCTTTCTAGGCTGGCTTTGGATTCTCACTAGTAAATTCTACTTACTATAAAATTTTTTTAAAAAATTAAGACTTCATTTTTTAAATCAATTTTAGGTTTATAATACAACTGAAAAGGAGGTACAGAGATACCCCCTGCCCCAGCAAATGTACAGCTTGCCCCATTATCAACATCACTCACCAGAGAGGGGTGTTTGTTATAATTGATGAAATTACACTGACATGATAATCACCCAAAGTCCATGGCTTACATTAGGGTTCACTCTTAGTGTTGTACATTATATAGGTTTGAACAAATGTATAATGACATATATCCATCATTACAGTATTATATAGAGTATTTTTACTGCCCTAAAAATCATCTGTGCTCTGTCTATTCATCCCTCCCCTCTCCTGCCTGGCATTCAACCACTGATCTGTTATTGCCTCCATAGTTTTGTGTTTTCCAGAAAGTCATATAATAAGGATCATACAGAATGTAGCCTTTCAGATTGTCTTCTTTCACTTAGTAACCTGCATTTAAGTTTCTTTCATGTCTGTCTTGGCTTTATAGGTCATTGTGTTTTAGTGCTGAGTAACATTCCACTGTCTGAATGTACTGCAATTAATTGTCATTCACCTACTGAAGGATATATTGGTTGTTTTCAAATTTTGGCAATTATTAATAAAGTTGCTATCCATGTAGAGGAGTTGAATGTTTTCAACTCCTTTGAGAAAATAACAGCAGGGTTGCTGGACATCAGTAAGAGTATGTTTGGTTTTGTAAGAAACCCCAAAACTGTCTTCCAAAGTGGCTGTACCAATTTGCATTTCCATCAGCAATAAATGAGAGTTCCTGTTGCACCACATCCTCATCAGCTTTGGGATTGTCAGTGTTCCGAATTTTGGCCATTCTAAGAGGTATGTAGTAGTATCTCATTGTTTTAATTTGCATGTTCTTGATGACATATGATGTGGAATTTACCATAAAATTTTAAGAATTGAATGAGAATTCTGCTCAGCTGTTAGCTCTCTCATTTGTCCCTAACACGTACACACATGTGCACCCAAAATTCCAGTGGGCTGGCTGGGGAGATAAGGAAGGAGTGTTGCTGGGCTATCTTCAGGCTCCCGTTTCATGGTAGGTAGTCATTACTTCATTCAGTCATTCTCTGTCAGGTATCTCTCATCCAGAACTTAGATTATTGTCCGAGAGTAAATTATTAGCTGCTCTTCCAACTGCTGTAGGGAAGAAAGATTGTGCTCACCACTGTATGATTGTGGGTCATATTTAGTGTGTTCATTTAGTTCACTGTATGTGGATACAGACAGTTATAAATGAGAAGTGGAACACTTAATGTTTGCCATTTGTCTCAGTAAGTCTCTCTACAAGAAAGTGTTGAATTATATTGTGAATAGATTCAGGTATCAATGCACTGGTAATAATGTATACATTAAAATTCTCCACAGTTTGGAAAACACTTCCATGTCTATCCACCCTTAGAGCAATTCTATGAGACAAGTGGGGCAAGTGGTTTTAATATTATCCTAATCTGCACTTTCCAGATGACACAATTAAGACTTAAGGAGGCGATATAACATATGAAAGACCATACATCTGGTATTGGTCAGGCTTGAACTCAAATTCAAGGGTTTAGTTTTTTATACATTTTCCCCTATTGTGTAATAAATGGTTAATGTCTGTGAAGTTTGCTGTGGTCTCATATATCAAAACACAGGAGTATATATCCTCCTATAATTAAGATTTTATTCCTAAATGGTAATGGTTGGAACTTAGTTTTTCTCAGGTTTTTCCTGCTTATCACACTGGCTTCATGTATCCTTTCTGTCGGGAACACTCTCCTCCCCACCCCTTCTTCCTTTCAACATGTCCGTTCTTCACTCACTCTTCAGATCTCAGTTCATATCCCATCTTCTCAAAAGAGCCCTTCGTGAGCTCCCTCCTACAGGACCTGCCACCTGGCCAGTCTAACTTTGCTCCAAGTATCTTAAACATGAAGGGGAATGTGAAGTTTCTGCAGGGCTGGGGCAGGTGGAAGCCTGTGGATACACAGAGTAGACCTACATCCTGCTTCTAAACAGCAGTGTTTGGGAAGTAGTGAGACCTAGGAGGGACCATAGGCAACTCAAAAAATCATTCACTGTGCAGTGAATGAAGTGTAGAATCAGCAAAAACGCTGGAGCTGAAAAAGCCAGGCAGCTGAGGATGTTGATGATGATAATTACCCAGGGAGAAGGAACTTTTATGTATTTATTTATTAATTTTGTTCCCACTACAGTTGACATTCATATTATATTAGTTTCAGTGATACAGTAGTGGTTAGACTTTTATATGACTTACAAGGTGATCCCTCCAATAAGTCTAGTATGCACCCAACACCACACATAATTACTACAATATTATTGACTATTTTCCCTATGCTGTGCTTTACATCCCAGTGACTATTTTGTGACTGCCAGTTCGTACTTGTTAATCCCTTCACCTTTTTCATCCAGCCCCACAAGTCCTCTCACATCTGGCAACCATCAGTTTGAAGAAGCAACTTTTAAAGATAGAATAAGATACTAGAATTCTGTCCTGGTCAAGGGAAGGAAACCAATTCTGAGACTAACATTAACTTTTTTTTTGCATATTGTTTGTTTCACCAGCTGGGTGGAATGAAGACTTGGACCTAGAAACTGAACTATAGAAAATATATTTCCAGTTGGATACTCGAGTTTTAAAATCGAGATTCATACTTACTGTGCAAGTATTTGTGTGTGATTCGCTTAGTGTCAGCCTCATCCCCTGGACTATGAAAGCTCCTAAAGGGGAGGGACTGCATGTCTTGCTCCCCACTGTATCTCCAACACCTCGAACAATACCTCTGTATAGGGTTTATTGCAACAGGTATTTGTTGACTGAATTATCAAATTAATGGGAGAATTGATGGCTTTGTGCTTGCCCCATCTTGTAACATGATCTAATATTTTAAAAATTATTTCCCCCATCTCCTAACAAAATATCTTACTATTACATAGGGCAAAAATGTTTAACTGTGAAATACATATAGAACATAAAATTAGCTTTGAAAGTTGCTAGACATAGGTTACAGCTTTCTTTGTTTCATAACAATATAAAAATCAGCTCTGCCCCCTCGACAATAACTAAACACAGATATACGGTCACTCTCTTTAAGGGAGTATTGTTGCTGCTTTGTAAGATTGTGTTTCCACTGACTGTTCAGGGCACAATCTACCTCCAATGTAAAGCACTCAGCAGAATGCCTGGCACGGCGTAGACACTCAGGAATGGTAGTCCTCCTCTCATCATCCCAGATTGCATCCCCATTTTTTCATCTGAGAATCTCTTTGCTCTTTGTAGCTGGTTGGCTCCTTGCTAAGGCCCCACTCCTCTCACGGGAGATACTGACTGTGCTACCGGCTGCATTTGTTCCTTTGTACAACATTTGGGCTTTGTGTCATGTTTGTTCAGGATTTAGTACAATGTTTAAAGCTACCCTTAAATCCATAGAACATTTACTAGGCTATAAACCTTCTTTTGCTTAGATTGGCATACTCAATGGGTAATAAAACTGAAAGGCTGACAGTTGACATGAAACTAATTCCTGGATTAAACAGAAGGCAGGACATGTCCATTAAGTTGGAACATATAAAAGACAGTTATGAATCTGACAAAAATGAGCACTACTTCTTTGAAGTTGATGAAACATTTATGTGACATCCAGAACAACTCATGAAAAATGTACTTGAATAAGTCAACTATTCAAAGATATGGTGCTATCATAACAGGAAGAACAAAGCATCCCAGGATGTTTCAGGGATCCAACATCACAGCTCACTGATAAAACTTGTACAGAATTTTCCAAATTATTGTACATATTTCAATTATGTATTGTTTTATCAATTTTTTAAAGCACAAAACAACAGTGGAAACATAAAAAGAAAACAACTTCCCTGTCCATACAAAATAAAGCTGTAAATATGTATTATCCTTTCCTAAGATTATTTTTAAGAAAATTTTTAGCTGCTCATTTTAATTCTTACTGATAGGGCATTTTATATTTTTAACTTTTTTTATCTTTTAAAGATTTGGCTTATTTATTTTTAGACAGAGTGGAAGGGAGGGAGGAAGAGAGGCAGTTTTTTTGATAGGGCATTTAAAAAAATTACTAAATTGAAAGGTAAGAGAGCTCTATCTGTAAAATTTTGCAAAAAGGTATCTAGGTAAATGGTATTTTAACATCCATTCTACAGATATTCGTAGACTAGAAGTGAACTAGTTTTAAGGAGAAGAGGAAAAGGAGTTTCAGGTGAAAAAAACAGCATGCTCGAAGGCCTACAGAGAACGAATGTGAACTTTCAAAAATGTGTGAGGTGTTTTTGGCTCAACCTTTTAGAGTTTGATAGCATCTAAAACCTGTACAAGGCTTCTCCACAGAAAAACAACAATGTCACAAGAAGTATGGGTGAGACCATTTCAACCCAAGGTTACATACAGACAAGGAAGGAATCAACAGAATTAACTAAACAAGTACTTGTTCAATTTGCTAAAAAGTGAGTCCACAGTTCTTTAAGTTCTAAACTCCAGCATTCTCAGTTTGGGTAAGAACTCTGCAAGAACTAGTGCTTCAGAATGTTGACCAGAAGAGACATTTCTGGTCATTTGGAGAATTTATGGCTCTATCTTTCTATTAAGCCACAGAATGAAAGATAGTAAGAGTCTAGTCAGAGAAACTCTCCTGTATTCTAAGGGAAAGTTATCTTTTCTAGTCCATACCAATCATGAGGGAAGAAGATAATCAATTACTGACTTTATTTTGTCAAGCAGGACACACATGATCTCATCAACTCTAGAAAGTAGTTACATTATCAGCACAATTGTACAGAGAAGGCTTCTTGGGGAAGTTATATATTTTGATTAAGATTGTAGATCTGGTAAGTGGAGAACTGAGATTCAAATGCAAAACACGAGAACCTAAATTTTTAAGTTTACTGTCTCATTGCTTTGATGTAAATGTAGATCTCAATACTCATAAAACCCTTATGACACAGGTTTTCCATTCTAGAGATACTGTTACTGAGGTTTAAAGAGTTTAAAACTTGCTTATGTCACTAGGTAAGTGGCAAGGCTGACATTGAAATTTATGTTGGCTGCTTCCAAAGCCTATGAGTTTTCCATGATGTCTCCCTATATAGTGTTCCATTATTGTCTCACAGATGCAGCGATGTGAAGGGATGGCGTTCAGAAGTGACTGAATAACTAGCAATCATCATAAAAACACATGATGAAAACTTCCTGGTGTAGATTATATTCTTAGCAAATATTGTTAAAATGAGGTTCTGACCAATAAAATGTCAAGAATGTTAGTATAAATTGGACAACAGTATGAAGGTAACTTCAGACTTGATTTGGCCATATTCAACGTATTAGATTCTCATTTGATCCTCAGCAAAATGAAGGCCTCCATTTTCACTTTATTTCTATTCTCTGTCCTACTTGCCACCTCCGAAGTGACAAGTGCGAAGTCTGTGAAGCTCTGTGGGCGCGAGTACGTGAGAACAGTCGTCTACATCTGCGCTAGCTCCAGGTGGAGAAGGTACCTGGAAGGGATCCCTCAAGTCCAGCAAGGTAACATGAACTCACATGACTCCTTTGTTCATTTTTTTCAGGCTTCTTTTAGTACCTGTTCCTCTAATTACTGCTAAGCCACTTTTATGTCAATTTAGGGGGTTATAATTATCAAAATAAACTGAGCTTGTCTTGGAAAAGAGATGAGCTGGCTACCTTTCAAAAAATAAAGACTTTTTTTTTTGTCTCCAGTTTAAAGATCATTTGATTGAATAACTTCTTCGATGTTCTCAGCATCTATGGCAGGTGCGACGGGGACAGAGGGAAGTATGTGGTTTCAAGGGCAGTGTCAGAGTAGCAAGATTCCCACACATGGGCAATTAGTTGGAATTCAGGCAAGTCTAAATTAAGGATGGAAGGAGAGAATCTGTTATTGAGCACCTATAAAGTGTCGGAGAGTTTCATGGGCAACATTTCATTCAGCCTTCTGATAAGAAGTCTGTGAAGTAAGTACTGTTACCACCATTTACCGTTTCACCGAGGACGAAACTGTTCACCCAGGCCGTACACCGCATGGCTAGGGAGCACACCAAGTCTGTCTGGCTTCCAGAGCTGAGGTTTTTGTTTTATTCCACACTGTGTCTCAGGTGGGAAGAAGACAGTGGACTGTTGTAACATGTGACAGGACTGTGGGCTCAGTGGGGTTTGACTGAGGCCCTGAAGGATGTGTAGCATTTGGGGAGATACCAGGAGTGGGGCGAAGTGAAATTCTGGTGGGAATTCTAGCAGTAGGAATGACCTGATCCGAATTTTGAAGGTAGGAACAAACCTAATGTGTTTCAGAAATAGTGAGGGGACTGACTACTCTGCAGTTCTTCATTTTTTCAATTCAAGTAACTTAGAATTTTCAATTCAAGTAACTTGGAATTCTCTCTGCTAATCTTATATAAAGCATGAGGCAGAATTTACTCGATCTTATTTTAATAATCAATTGTTTTTGTTGTTTATCATAGAAAGTTAAAAAGGAAAACACAATTCAATAATAAATGTTGCAAGCACATACACGATTGTGAAGGGTTCCATTCAGTTTAAAATGACTTTGGTAAACAAAAATATGTTTTTAAAATGACCCACTGTTTTTATATTTTAATAAGCTAATTTCTTGAAAAATTATGAACTTTCCACCCCCACTTTAATAGTGAGAGGGTCAGAGTTACTAGATTTTAACAGAAAAAAATAAGGGTTTTTTATTCTTAAGAGAGTAAGTATAATTTACTAGATTTGTGGTTAGAAAATCCAAATACACTAGCAAAAGCACATTTCTGTATCTACAAAACACACAAAGCAGTGGAACTGGTGTCTGTATGAGGCCATCTCTTTGTAACACCACTGACTTACTATTTATTTAGCCTTTTACAGGCTTTCAGAATATTTCCTCATATTATTTGTTTGATCAGTTACTGGTTTACCAATCAGCATTCATTCGTATGAGTTTTCGTGGTGTTTGCCAGTGTGCTAAGGTACGAGTAAGTTTAAACGAAGTTGGAGTGAGAGAACAACACCCTGATGAAAAGAGGGAGCCCCACTTTTATTTTCAGACACAGAGGTTGAAATCTGCTCTCCCTTACTGATCAGCTTTGCAGGGCATCTATGCAGTGCTTTTGCATTTGTGCATTTCTGGTTTATAGCATGTAGCTAAGCTAATATCTTTGGAGGCTGCTTGCTGGTCGTGGAGCAGAGGTAGCCAGCACAACTGAAGTCAAGCCTTGCCTTGGCTACTCTCTAGCTGAGCGACACTATATGTCTCTCCTCCCTGCACTCATATTTCCTCCTCTGTAAAATGAGGAGGCTGGAAATTCTCCCCCAAATGTCTAATCTCTCTGAAACCAAACCAACACTGTTTTGTTTTGTTTTTTTAAGTGATGTGTAGGATTCAATTTTCTTTCAGAAATCCAATGTATTTCCCCAAGAGTAAAACTTGGTAGCTGCCTTCCTTGTCAGGGTCCTCTAAAAAAGTTTTTTTTTTCTTTTCCATACAGCTGAGAGGGAAAACTACTTCCAACTTCCAAAAGAGCATCAGGTTTCTGAGGAAAGCATAGCGCAAAACCTTCTGAAGGTGGATTCTGCGGGGCAGGAGAGTCTTCAGCAGGGACAGCTGCCCACTGAAGGGCTTTGGGGCCCAAAGAAGCATTCAGTGATGTCAAGACGAGACTTACAAACTCTGTGCTGCACTAGTGGCTGCTCCATGGCTGACCTGAGTGCTCTTTGTTAAGACAGGAGCACATATCCAGGGGGTGGCAGAGGTTTAGCACATGTTTAATCCCAGTATCTTGCTGCCCAGTACACTTGCATTATGTAATTTAAATAACAGCTTTCGGATAGGCAATCTTCCTCTCTTAAAAGTTGTCCATGAATGGTTAAAGCCACGCTGAAGTCTGTTTTCTTTCTTTGTTAAGACTACTGCACTGTTCTTCTCAAATTTTAACTAATCCTTTGAAATTTCAAATGCTGTATAAAATTGCAATAAAAATGTCATAAACAAAGCTTTATGTGATTTTTTTTTACCTTTTAGAATTTTAAAAATAGCAGAAAATGCTAATGGCAGAAAAAACTAAGAAAATTAACTGTTATTTCATCTAACAGAAATAAGTATCCACTCTTAACTTTTGGGTTACTGTATATTACTATTGAAAATTAAAACATTGATTTATTGTCAGGTATAAGAATCTAAACAAAGTGCTTTTCTCAAAGACACTTAGTGTTCAATAAATAAGTGTTCTTGATATAATGCAGCTATTTGAAATTCTACTTGAGAATAGCTTGGGGCATAGATGTATGGATCAGCTTCTACAAACAGCTAAAATCCAGAAAATGTCTGATAATACGCTGCTCCCTATAATCCGTGCCCCTTGGCGTTGCCTCCCTTCTGCTGAGATAAAAAGATATTCTAGCCCTGGCTGGCGTAGCTCAGTGGATTGAGCGTGGGCTGGGAACCAAAGTGTCCCACGTTCGATTCCCAGCCAGGGTACATTCCTGGGTTGCAGGCCATAACCCCCAGCAACCGCACATTGATGTTCTCTCTCTCTCTCTCTCTCTCTCTCCCCGCCCCCTCCCTCTCTTCCCTCTCTAAAAATAAATAAATAAAATCTTTAAAAAATATATATATAGCACATCTAATTTAAAAAAAAGATATTCTATTCTCATTCTGCAAGTAAAGAAACTAAGACCTAGATTGTCGGGTCATTGTGATGCAATTAGATGTTTTCACAGAACTGTTTTCATCTCTAACTCTGAGAGTCAGCTCCTCAGTGGGTTGCAGGCATTAGTCATACTCTGTCCATCTAAAGTGTTGTTCTTATCCATACTATAGTTTGTGTATTTAAAATCCATCTACTACATACTGGGTTCTTAAACTGTGTCAAGACATTGTGCATAGCATTTAAACACTTTACTTCCGGTGTTTGTTTCAGGAAACCTGGGGGGGGGGGGCGGGGGGTAGTGCTTCATCCCTGTTTTGTAGATGAGGAGACAGAGGGAGGCACCGTGGCACCGTGGAATTCAGTAAACCTGACCCGAGTCACACAGCTAAGGAGATGGCGTAATTGGATCCAAACTCAGGCTGCTCTGCATGAATAAAGCTGTCACGTCAAACTGTGCTGGCAGTCAATGTGTTTGTTATGACCATGCACTCTTTCATAAAGTTACTTTCACTGAAGAATGTCTTTTGATGAGGCAGTATAATTAATTATATTAAATTTCAACCCTTTCAATATTCTGGGTGGGGAAATGGAAGACTGAATGAAGCACTTTTGCAGCCTGATGGTTGTCTCAAGCAAAAGCACTTGTGCGGTAGAATTGTAAGCTTCCAACTGGCTGTTTTTCCCATGAAACGCCATTATTTTGCTTTGAAGAAAGACCGAAAAACTGAGATTAGTTAGATTTGGGTATTTGAAATTAAACCAAACAAGATTTGAAAATACACAAAAATGAGCCTGTAACTTCAAAAGAAACTACTGACAGTATTTGTTGCTGATGGTAAAAGTCAGGCTCATGAGAAATTTTGGGAAATGTTTATTCACTGACATGAACATCAATAGTGATATTAATGAATTTGATATTGTGTAATGAAATGTGTTAGCATTTGTAAGCTCTGCATAACTTAGTGAACCAAAATTTTCCAAATGATCAGTGTATGATATTACAAAACCATGAATGTATATCATGATGAAAATATAAATAGATAAAATAATAAAATAGTCTTACATTATATATGTATATGATATTCTCAGTCATCTAAAGAGTTTTATTCTATTACATATTGCTTACTAACTTATTTTATTATCAATTGCTTCTGAATTTATCAAATACCTATTCAACTTTATCGTGATACTTTTTTCTTTTGATAAGGTGAAGAATTATGTAGATAGTCTTTCTTATGTTGAAATTTCTCTGCATTCTCAAAATAAATCTACTTAATCACAGTGTAATATTTTTTAGTACTCAGAATGACTGAATTGTTAATATTTTATTTGGAATTTTTACGTCTGTGTTCACAAGAAAAATTGATCGCTCTATGTTTGGCAGGGAAGATTAATCTAACTTCATGAAATGAAGGTATTGTCTATTCTTCAGAAATTTGGAAGAAAAAAACAAATAGTATATTTTGCTTGGTGACTTTTTAAAAACTTCAGTGCGGTGTACTATACATACAATCAAGTGCATAACTTTTTAGTTTTTACTGGAATGTGGCCACACTTACTTGGTTGTTTATGTCCATGGCTGCTTTTGTGCTTCTGAAACAGGAAAGGTCAGTATTTGTGCTGCTGGAACCAATAAGTAGAGACAAGAATTGAATCTTTGTGGGCACATTATTCAGATGCCAGTGATCTGAGAAGATGGTGGGTTGTGCACCCTCAAAAACCATCTTCACATCTCATCTCAAGCTGACCATCTTTATAAGGAGAAGAGTAGTTAAGGGATTTGGAATTCAGAGGAAAGTAGGAAAGGGGTTTGGAATTCAGGGAAAAAGTTCAATCCGATAAAAGCTGCACACCAGCAATTTTCCTAGCATCCTTCAGCTGCTGACCACTTATTCTGCATCCTGGTCACTGGATGTTCTCTCCCTGGAGCACATGGCTCAGATACCGTCTGGACCTCCTGCATTCCTCCCGAAGCACAAAGGCTGAATTGCTTGCAGGCCTCCTGGAGTCAGGGTGGGTCCGGTCATGCATTCCAGTTCCTGGAACAACATCTTTCAATGTGCATTAATCACTAAACTTATCAAGTATAACTAAAACTTAAAATTTTTAACTCTTCAGGTCCCCCATCACTTCAAGGCCAGAGCTGAAAAGTTGTGGCAGAGACCTCATGGTCTACAGAGCTAAAAATGGTTACTAAATGGCCCTTTATATTTTGCTGACATGTGCTTAAGAACACTTAAACTTCCTCAGGTTGACCCAGCTTTTAAAGGTCCTTAAAAGGCTTTGAATGTGTTTATGAACTAGATGCAAATTGGCTGTTTTTCAAAAGTTTTAACTGTCTTGCTAAAGTAAATTTCTTGTTATAAAATATATTTCCTAAAAGGAAAATATAAAGATAATGTATTTTTATAATTATCAATATTTACTTGTTTTTAGTTTTAAAATAAAAAAAGACTTTCTAAGCTTAATATTTCTTATATGAATTTTAAAATTATTTCCCAGCACCCCCTGCACAAATCAGGCTGGGTATTCATTCTTTTTGATTGTTAGACCATCCATTCTCATCTTTGTTTGTGGAAGCAACAACTTTCACTTTTCCTATTACAAACGGAAATTGAAGCTTAGTGCTCCCATACTGCTTATACTGGTTCCTCACTTTGCTAACTAGGGGAAAGTAGCCCAGGGTTGGGTGGGTAACCATGAGTTTTAAGTTATATCCTACGCTAAAATTAAAAAAAAAGTGTGTGCCATCATGAAACAGGTGAGGAAAGAAACTGAGAAGACATTACAGGAAACTTTAATCAGATACTTAACATATTTAAGCCTCAATCTGAGGTGGTACTCAAGAGTTGGAAAATTTTAGTTTAAGGTAATAGTTAATAAGCCTAGTAGTTAATGCAAGTAAAAAGCTTTTGTTTCAGGAACTGAAGGCTCGGCCCCCATCCTCTGACTCCAGGAGACCACAAGCGATTGACCTTTGTGTTCCAGAAGAGACCTTAAGCAATCAAGGTGGTATCTGAGCCATTGCGTTCCTGGGAAGGACAATCCACCTCCCAGGACACAGGACACGGATAAAGACAATTACTGGTCAGTGGATGAAAAAATGTTAGGGACATGCTGGACTGCATTGTTTATCTGATTAACCTCTTTCCTGAATTTTAAATCCATTACCTACACTTTTTTTTTTACCTTGAATTCCAAATCTCTTACCTATACTTTTTCCTCCCCATAAGAAGGCTGGCTTGAAAGGAAAGGTAAGAAGGTCTCTTAGGGTACATACCCACCATCTTCTCAGATCCCCAGCCGTCTGAATAAAGCGCCCATAACGACTCAATCCCTGTCTCTGCTGATTGGGTCTGGTAGGTGACAGGCAGCACAAATGCCTTTCCCGGTTTCAAATCAACCTTCTAGTTGCATGTGCTCATGCATGTGAAGAAGGAAGAGAACATATAAATTCAATTGGACTCTATGACAGGGAAAGATAAGTGGCAGTAAGCAAAAGAAGTGCAAGGAACTAAGAAAGTACAGAAGTGGGAAGAGGCAAGACATCTGAGTGGAAGAAGTGAAAAAACTGGCAGAGATTAGGAAAAAGAGGCTAAATTTGAAAAGCAAATAGGACTTTATAATAAATGTTGACTTTAGGAGAAATTATTTGTCATTCCAAGACAGTAGTAGCAGATAATCAAAACTTTGAAAAGAAAAAAAAAACAAGTAATCTGAGGTATTATACTATGCTGGTGAGCAGAAACTGCTAAAATATATGCTCAGTTCTTTAGGAAAATAGGTTCTACAGGAAGAAATTGGACATCAAGAGTAAGCTTCTATGGTGGGTCAGACATTTTACATACACTTTCCCTTTCATTCTGGATGGCAGGAACAAAGTAGTGATCTTTGATCAGTGAGAAGTTGTAATCATTACTATAATCATTTTTACCTTTGAGAAAACCGAGACTCGGGACACTGACCATTTTACCTAACGTCACACAGCTAGTAAAGATCCAAAGCTCAAATGAGATGTTTGTCTGTCAAATATGTGTTTAAACAAACAAACAAACAAACAAAATCCAAACCCGAAAGCTTGGATCACATTGCTGTTCGGGACAACTGAGTTCAGAAGACAGCAGAGTAGAACGCATGCAGCGCAGCGGGAGGAATGGTTGGGGGTTTTGGCTGGGGGACCAGACCCCCCTGCTGCTTGTGTAAACAACACACCGCAGGGGGTGAGAACCAGGTCACAGGAGGTGAAAGTGAAAGGAGCAAAGATAACCTGAGGCAGTGGGTACAGGCCACTTCCTTAAAAATTTGGAAGCAAAAAAAGCATAGTAAATTATCAATAATTACTTAATATTGAGTTTTCTTAATGCCTTTTTTGAAATAATATCTAGAAAGACAGGTCAGGTAACAGTCCCAACAAACAGTTCACTCTCTAAAATGCTAGATTTAAAAGTTCTAATTTCTCAATTGTTTTTTCAATCACTGTCCTCTACTTAATTATTCTCAAGAGTTGTTTTTTTTTTTAAGTCAATAAACTGAAGTAGTGCTTAATTTCCCAGCACATAGTCTACTGGACTCTATTGTAAGGGCCTCCTAGAACGCTTTCTTTAAAGTTGTTCTATTAACAATGACAACAGACAACAAACAACACTGATATTTCCATTCAAGATGCTAGTATATTTTTGAGAGAGAATCTTTACATTTCCTATGATGTCTGATAACAGAAATGGGTTATACAGAATTTTTTTAGAGTGAAGATCAAAAGGAAAGCATCATTTAATTTGTTTGGGGGGAGATTTTTCCCATTGATTTTGGGGGAGGGTTTCCTGCTGACATTCCCAGGGTTAGCTAAATTCTCCATAATTTGCTCTCAGTACTGACTATGCTGCTGAAGCTGCTGCTGCTGAATATTTTATAAAGCAGGAGGAAGATGTTAGGTCTCAGTCCAGATGACTGCCAAGTCCAAACCTCTCACCTTAACGATGTAGCTCAGCTCCGCTTCCACTGTTTCAGCTGCCTGAGAATATCTCTGTCTGAACGTCCCATTATCAACTTAAATTCAACAAGTACAAAGTCAGACTTATATCTCAGTCCTCAGATTCTTCCTGCCAACTTCCTTGTTCTTGCTAACAGGACCGCTGATCTAGTTGCCCAGACTCAAACTTTCAACTGCAACCATAGGAGCTGCTTTGGATGGAGGGCTTCCTATCAGGCACTGTACTGTTGAGAGCTTAGCAAACATGTATTTTCATTTGTTTTTAGCAAGCAGAGGCAGTGCCCCACATGCCCCTCCTAGCCATCCCTCTGAGTAAGCGTTCTGTCTCATGGGGCTGGCCCAGACAACAGCCACCCCACCAACCCCAGCCTGACTCCAAAACCCTGTGAGGTAGGTACCAGCATTATCATTACTTTAAGGTACAGAAGCTGTGGCTCAATGAGGTGAATAATATTTTTAAGTTCACTTAACTAGTGACTGGGATAGCAGGACTCAGAGCTGAGATGGCAAACATCCAGGGCTCAAAACTTTCAACAGCCTTGTCCTGTTCCCTTAAAGTCACCTGACTTCTCCTTCCCCTGTGACTGGTCACGAAGACGTGGCCCCTACAATGTCCCATACAACAGTCTTCTGTTTTTTGTTTCCATGTCACCTCTTAGTTCAGCCTCTTATTAGCTCTCACTTCTCCTGAGTGGTCTTTCGGTTCTCTACTGACAGATTTATTTTAAGGAATCACTTCATGCATACGATTAGCTTAATGGAAATGAATGGAAAGCCTTCAATGACTACCCATGACATTTTCTAACCCAGACATTCAAGCTATCCTCCGTGAACCCTTGCAATCTCACCACTTATCTTCATGAGCACTGCTTTTCACCCAGTCTAGACTTCTTCCTGTACTCTGACCTCCTCTGTCTCTTGAAATTTTACTTATCGCCTTCACAGTCTAGACAAGTACTATCTCCTTCATGAATCTTCCCCTGATCCCCTTATCTAGATAAAGATGTTCTGGAATTTTTTTTATAAAAACATATTCTAGCCCGTGCTGTGGTCACTTGTGTACTTGTCATCCCTAGAGGACCCTAGTTCCTCCAGAGTTAAACTCTGTGTCATTAGTGTCTTTGGAGTTGGTAGTTAGGGTATAGCTCAGTCATAGCACATGCTTCTTACTTGGAAAGTTAAGATGTGTTAAATTTTACTGTGAGGTGCTGTCAGGATGTGTGGTCTGTGTATTCACAATGTTTTCAGTCTAGTAAGGGAAAAAAACTATTATTTAAAAATTAGCTAGAGAACAATCAGGAGGAGCTCAACTGTGAAAGTGATGGAAGAAGAGAGAATGGGAGGAAGGAATGGATGAAGAAGGATTTCGAGAAAAGGAGAGACCTGGGTTTAATGCTGACAGTGCAGAAAGTTGCTGTAAGTAGAAGGAAAAAAAGGAGTGAAGGTAGAGATGGGTGTGGCCAGTCTGGGGAGGAGGATGGCACTTTACAAACACCTATTGAGAGAGAAAAGTACCAGGGAAATTCAGGAAGTTTCAAAGGAAAACTATTCCCTCAAATTTACAGTGTCATTTCATTTTTTAAAAGTTTAATTTAAAAAATTGATATAGAATTAACATTATGTAATTTTAAGGTGTATCATTGTTGGGAACCACCCTGCCTGGTTTCAGAAGCTATAACCCCCACCAAGGCTAAGGAGTGACCTTGGACAGTAAGCCACTAAGGAGACAAAAACTTATCTCCCTGGCAGGAGCACTGCTTCTGCTCCTTTTATTTCATCCATAACTGGCCCCCAATGCTTGGTCAGTTAGCCAATGACGTATAAGATTCTCAAAGTGGGGAATGACCTAAGCTAGGCACGATCATGTGGGAGGCCCCCAAGGAAGGACTTTGGGGGCTACGGCAAAAGGGGGTGATGGACCCTTGTCCCTCAGCTTTGACAAAGCCTGAGTCCTCATTCTGTCTGTGAGGGGTCTCCTAATCTCTTGGCTGCCTTACTTTCCTTGCTCCACCTAAGTCTGAAACAATGACAGAGGGTGGTGCAGCTCTGTGCTGGAAAGGGCAGGTTGCCTGAGTAATCAGGCCTAAGAAAGTATATGTTAAATCCTGTGAAATCTGCTTTGTTTAGAATGCTCTCAATTAAATAATACGGGTCCTAACAAGAAGTAAGTTCATTCCTCAAAATTTTACAGCTCTTCAGCTATAGGACCCTGACTCAGAATAGGCCCTCAAAGCTCTTTGTTATCTATTGCTTGATCCTTACTGCCTGACAATTATTAATGAGCTTTATCTATATTCCTGTGCAAATGAACCCAATAAAAGCCCATTGAGGAACAGGCTCCTGGCCCTTCTCCTTTGAGAGATTAGCCACCTTTCCTCCCCCAGCAGATCATGTCTTGGTAGACTTATTCTCATCCATGGTGGCCAGGGGGACCTTGTGGGCGGAGCCCCCCCCACATATCATGTGTTGATCTGACACATTTTTATATTGCAATGTGCTTACCACTATGGCTGGCTTCAGCTAACACATCCATCAAATTTCCTACCTCGAGGTTTTTTATGATAACTAGTGTTCTTCTAAGTTAGTCACAATTAGTGAGTTTTAACTGTATGTTCCTATTCATCATCAACTATCTGAATTACATACAGTACATGGCAGTGAGCTGGGAAACAGCCTCCTTTTTGTTTTTTAATAGCCATCTTGCTTTAAGGTTTGAGTCCTAACACAGTGTGGGACAGATGGTAAAAAAAATATTATGGATAAGAGTTTAGAACTCTAAAAAAAAAACACCCCATTTTTATAAAGAGGTTTCTACACACTAAAGAATTTTCTTCAATCTTATTTAGTCTCACAAAGTTGTTCTATGATTTCCCCTGTTGTTGTTCTAAGAGAAGAGGTGTTTGCAACTGTGCGATGAAGCCACGAAGCTCATTTACTTACCGTGTTTATGACACAATCCAGGCTCCAAGCTGGCCTAGGGAGATTGACAGTATCGGTTTTGATAAATTATTACACAGATGTAGTCCCACTAAGGCACTAACAGAAAAAAATAACAAAAATTGACTAATTCATTTTGAAAAGCTACCTTAAAAGCCAGAGGAAGCAGAAGGACAGGGATTTAGAAGGTATATGTGGCTTTAGTACATGCCATTTTGGGGAAAAATAAGACATCGATATTTTTTTATATTTTATTTATTTATTTTTAGAAAAGGAAAGGAGGGAGAAAGAGAGAGAGAAACATCAATGTGCGTTTGCTGGGGGCTATGGCCTGCAACCCAGGCATGTGCCCCGACTGGGAATTGAACCTGCGATGCTTTGGTTCGCAGCCCACGCTCAATCCACTGAGCTACGCCAGCCAGGACAACATCCATATTCTTTAAAACAATAAAGCACTGCCTGTTTTCCCACTTGTTAAATTTGTTCTGACATGACTTACATATCATTTTTTTCTTAGAACTATAGCGTTGCTAATTTTCTCCATATGCGTACCATTTGTCTTTGACCTTTAACAACGTCCTCTAGGCAGTCCACTTACCATCCAAAAACAATGCCACAGAATCATTTTACGTGCACACAAACGGCTGAACGCCCCATAAAAGTAAATGATCCATGGCACTAGCTGCATTAACCAGCAGAATAATGAGCTGTCTCAGCCCTGTAAATTTTAGTGCTGTCCATTCAAAACCACACTGGGTCACTTAGTATAAACTCATAAGAACAAAATACTAAACACACGTTTTATTTGTTAAGCAGCCAGCTATGTATTTTGTGTAAAAGTTGGTTAGCCTAGGAAAACCTATTCAAAAACACATTAGGCAGTGTATATTCGAAACCAGTGTCTCATTTGAATACATGATTCTATGTGTTACAAATACACTTACTATTAAGCATCATGTATATTTAATATCACAGCGATTACTTCAGTGCCCTAAAAAGGCTTTATAGTTTCCATTATTGAAGAGCCGACATTCAGTTCTTCCACACTTTTGTAAAGTACAGGCAATCCACAAGAGCTTCTAGTTTTAGCTAGCAGCCCCATGGGACTATGATAATTGTTATGAAATCATTAATTCTACCTCACCAGTTTCAACTGTCAGGTACATGTAACAGTAATTGCAGCTAATGAATGCTACTCAATTTATTAAGTAGCAAATGAAAGCCAGTATTCTTTTATATGCAGCACTGAGACATACTTTTATCATTTGTGTATACCATGTTGGATATTCTACCGCCATTTATTGGTCTAAGTATACAGCCACATATTTAAAAAAAATTTCTCATTAAAAACAACACAGGAAATTCTAACTCTTTAATTGAAGAGTAATTAAAATAATTAGTACCAAAGTAATATTTAATAACAATCTATGTCTGTGGAAAAAATCCAATAGAACAAAAACTTAGTTCCTTCTTGAGGTAAACAAAATTCTTTCTTGTGCCACACTTCCCTCCCCCAAACTTCCCAAAAGTATTTTTAAAATCCAAAATCTTCCAGTTGTTTGAACTATTAGCATTTCTTTCTAAAACTTTTAGTCAGTAAAACTTTTGTGTACTTAGATATAGCCTATTTCTTGATTTAAAACAGTAATACTATGTTTCTTATTTTCAGTCACTCAAAGTAAACTGCATAGACAGTTGCAAGAGCAAAGAGTGAAGAGTTTCTAAAAACATAAGATGCGAAGTTATCACTTTTAGGGTTCCAGAGGCACCTGCTCCCAATGAGGATGCTCTGGCCGCTCAGTTGCCCGATGTAAACCATCACCATCAGCTTATAGCGAGGGACCAGCAAGTCCTTGACCTGCGCTTTAATGATCTGGAATTTAAAAAGAAAAAAAAAAGGCTCTCACTTCCTATAGCTACATTGAAACTTAAGAATATCAATATTTGTCACAAATATAGTGGATTTGACTTAGGAAAGTGGTATGATCCACCACAGATACTTTCAATAACTGTTGTAGAGCTACAACTGAAGCTACATTCGCTTCAAGTACTGCCCTCACGAGAGAGGACATTTAGGGGCAAAGTAATAGCACCAGCAATAAATCTACATTTTCTAAGGAACTTGAAAAAAACTGTAATCCAGAAAACAGAATTGAATAGATTTATTACATTGTTTGGAAATCTTAAGATGGTTTCCCTTCAAGAAATGTTGGCATTAAAGTTATACCATCCTGTTCATGTCTCACTAAGAGCCCATATATCTGGGGTCCCCTGCAATATGACTAATCATACTTGTTTATTAAAGACTTTGTTATAAAAAAGCAAGCAAACCTGACAGAGTACCAGCACCTTAGTTGATAAAAACGGAAATGTATTTAAATGTCTGTGGTTGGTGGCCATTGAAGCTGCCTTGGGGGAGAGAAATGGTCATTAAAATATTTGATCTTTTATAATGATTTTTTAAAAATAAATGGGCAGTTTTATACATTTTTAACACAAAATGCATGTAAGTGATGTACATAATGATTGTTTTAGACAAAGGCTTTTACACACATGGAATATGACCTAATAAATATTTTAACAAAATAAAATATAAATAAGCAATTTTTTCTGCTACTGCAAATTAAATTGCCTCCTTCAAAAAGTAGGGGGTTGTGCTTTTCAGCAAATATTCTAGTTACAGTTAGCACTTTAGGCAAAATCACACATTACCTCAGAAATCGTTTTAGTCATCTGTCTGCAGAGCTCTGGTTCATATTGTTGTTCTTGCAGAGAGTTAGTTAACACATCTTTCAGAATATGATTGACAATAGCCACAGGAAAATGTTTGCTAGGCCCTGCAAATACAGACAGAATTTCTTTCTAAGAAGCCATTTCATATTATACCCACCCACCTCATTGGCTAAACACGAAGAGACAGTGAATCTTCTGTGTGGCCTTCATTTAAAGAAGAAAGTAGTTGTAATTATGTTTCCAATCAGTTCTCTGACAGAAGACAGGACAATGAACTCATCCATTTACCAGACTACCTAAAGAGTGTGCTCAGCCATGGAGGGCTGACTTTGGCAAGTACCCCCCTTCCCAATTTTCACTGTTAACGATTGACTTCCAAGTCTTAAAATATTCCTCCCCCTTCAGTCTATCTACCGCGTTGCAACTGGACGGATTGCTCTAAATCCCAGCTCTTACTGCGGTATTTCCCTTAGCAAGGCCCAACCTACAGCCTCTTCTGCCACCATCACAGCTCTCCCCACGGAGCCTGCTTCATCTCATGGACCTCATCTCTCTTCTAAAGGATGCTTGTACGTTTGCGCTTGCTCTTCTTTTTAAATGGAACACCCTTTCCCATCTTGTTCTTCTGAGAAATAAATAGCCATTGTTTTGAGGCCAGCTCAAAAGCCTTCTCCAGGTAGCCTTCCTTCTCTCTTCAGATAAAAATCACTCCTCTCTTCTCTGTACTCCCAATGCACCAGGCCCCCACTGTTATCCTGGCTCCTAATCTGCCTAACAGCTAAGGTATACCTGCCTGTCTTCCCAGTGAAACGACAAGCTAGGTCAGATTTTATCCTCTTCAGAGTCTAATACAATGTGAAAGACACAAGAAATGTTTAATATATGATTTCTGAAATAAAATAGAATCAAGCACGTATAGATAACAATCATGGTATAATCACCTTTACCATGGCCACATTTATTGAGCATTTTCTACATGTCAGGCACTTCAAGAATTTCATGTATATCACCTTATATAATCTTCCAGTAAATCTCTGTTGAGGGGGATCTGTTACCTCCATTCCACAGGTGGGAAAACAGGTATGAAATGCATTCTATAACTTGCCCAGAATCACACAGTGGCAGAGCTGGGATGTACTCACAGATGATTCTGACTCAAGAGCTCATATTGTTAACCACCTTTAGTCCACATTCAGAAGAGAAGCTTTGGATGGATCTTCTTTATCCTGCACTCCAGGAATCTTACCTGCACCTCCTGGGAATACCAACCTCATGGTCTTTCTGTCACTGTACAACACATGTGCCCAGGGCCTGGAGCACAGAGGCTCAACCATTCTTTGCTGAACTGACACAGATAAAGGAATGAGGTCAAGAATTATATTTAAGTAGCAGTCATCAGAATCTGTTAAGTGTTTATTTTTAACTCCTGTATCAGTCAGGGCCTAAGGAAACACAGGACACACTCAAGGCAGTCCCAGGAGGATGTAATGATGAAGAGACCACAGAGAGAAGCCTGAGCGGGATACAGGAACTCACCAAGGAAACAACCTCGTGGCTGGTGGAAGTGAGGGTGTTACCCTCACCCTACCCTAGGCTTAAGGGATTTGATGGAGGAACTCTTACTAGATCCTACAAGAGGTATGTGAAGCAGACTCCCTTGAGAGCAGTTTATGTCCTTCTATTGATGGATGGAAACAGCCTGACAAGAACCCACAGGCAGGGTGGGGAATAAATACCTAGCTCACACTCCTTCCACGCTGTGACTTTTTATTGAAGTTTCCCATTGACTGAACTTAACCGGACGATTACAGCCCATGGTTATAGTTGAGTTAAGTCATCCTCCTGAAGCTCAATAAGTAGTATTTTAATTTTATGATTATATAGAAATTGTTTAATTAAATTTATGTTAGTGTAGGGAATGAATTGACATGTAAAACAGAGACATCCAATGCAATGAGTGAGATGATCAATCCCAATATTTAGTCAGCAGGAATCTCTGTTCTACAGGACAGACATGAGCAGTTATCTGCCTGTGAGAGGCTGGACCCGACTGCTCCGGCCTCATGGGGTCCAAGGGAGGGCACCAGTCCCTGTCGGCCCTGGTGTCGCTTTCTACGGAGCTCTTAGATTGCTACTCAAAGATTCCAGTGAAACGAGGCTAACTTCTGAGGTGATTTTTCCTCTTCCTATTTAAGAAATTCTAAAATATTACTAGCTTGGACTAAATGTCTCCTCTCTTTTTCCCTCCCTCCTAACAAGTACTCATGTCCCACATACAGGACGTGATCTGCATCACTCACATGAAACTTGATCTGGCCGTGCGTGACGGCGACCACAGGCCTTGTTCCCTTTGTAGAGCAGTGCATTCCTCCAGTGCAGGTGTTTGTGCGCCTCGCACACCTCCCGGTCATCTGGGAGCAGCACCTCCCTATCCAGGAACTGGGCCTCCTGCTGCACTGACAACAAGTTTGACTGGCCCAGTGGAGGCACCTGCCCCAGGCCAGACCAATTAGTCCTTTCTTGGAATTTTTATTTCAAACTGGAACTAGGGAGAAAGAAAACATCAGGCTCTTTGTGTGACAAAGTTATGACGCGGCCCTTAGCAATGCTGGAGGCCACGTTTCTCAGGGTGGGAAGGAATCAGACAGCTCCGTGCTGGGAAGGTAGAATCCTGGTGGCACTTGAGTCCCTGTTTCCAGTAGCTCCCGTTGTTCGGCTGTACCAATGTCCTTTTGGTGCTTTGCTTAATGTTTTTAAATCTCATTAAGCAGGTTCTATTCTGAAAATATTTTGAAGTACGGGAATGAACTTTTCTCACTTCTTTGTGATGTTCCGCTGTACAGCCAGAATCAGCACTGCCTTGCTCAGGCAGGGGTGCTGAGATGCAAAGAGAGAAAAAGAGTCGGTGTTCAGCTTTTGACTTCCCAAATAAGCTCCTGAAGCTACTTTCAGAGTCAACTGATGTGAATGTCAAAGCTTTTTTTTCTTTCCTTTTTTCTGAACTTTTTTTTTCCTTAGGAGGAAAAAATTGTTTTAGAAATCAGAAATTAAGGACCTGAAGGTCAGATGAATAAAAAAGAAAGGAAGGAAGGAAGAAAGAAAAGTTTGTCCATAAAAATAGATTTAAGAGAGAATAGTTAAAAATTTTGTTATTTAATATATCTGTGCTTCAGCTTCCTCAAATTGAGGTAATAAGAATTACCAGACTATTTTTTGTTAGGGTTAAACGAGGTGAACTATTTAACGTGCTTAGAACAGTGTCTGCCACCTACACAAAAATCACTCATTAGATACATGAGGTCTGACCAGAAAAAGTCCAGCCATTGTTAATATAATGAGAATGGTTTGCACAACAACCTGGCAGCTAAGGAGAGTGGACTGGAATGCACATGTGTGAACAATGACGACTTCCCAGTACCAGTCAGTGGGGGCAGTAGATGCCACTGAGTGAGCATGTGTATAGTGTGACCATCACATTAAAAATGACCAAGTGTGTAGAGCAACAAATCTCCATCAAATTTGGCATTAAGCTTGAATAGTCCTCCACAGAAACTACTTGGGTGATTCAGAAGGCTGCAGCTATAGGCAACTGGTGATTGGCAGCTTCATCACCATAATGCACCTGTTCCTGTATTTTGGCAAAAGAGCAAATCACTCAGGTGACTCAGCCCCCCTTACAGCCCAGATTTGACACCCTGGAATATCTGGCTTTTCCCAAAACTAAAATCACCTTTGAAAGGGAAGAGTTTTCAGAGCATCTGTGAGATTCAGGAAAATACATTGGGACAGCTGATGGCAACCAGGAGAACTGTGTAAGGTCCCAAGGTGTCTACTTTGAAGGGGACTGAGGCATCATTGTCCTATGTACAATGTTCCTTGTATCTTGTATGTTTTTCAATAATTGTCTCTGTTTTTCATAGTGCATGGCTTAATACATTTACATTCATTCTTGGTGGCTATAATTACTCAGATAAAGGGAGGACAAATATGCTAAACATTTAAGATATGTTTAGATGATACAAATATTATTGGATAGGATGCAAAAATTTATACACCATAATGCTGGTGATTGATGTTTTCCCCTCCTGCCCCACACTATTCTAGTCAGTATGGCATTTTGTGTATATGAGAAAATCTTTACCAAAAGCCCATAGAGTAGCTTTCAGATGCAAAATAAACCCAGAGATAAATAGAAGTTGAAATATGTTTTTGATTTTAATAAGATGGCGAGTTGAATGCTTAAAAAAAGTATTGTCGAGCATAAAAAACTTTAATCATAAGAGAATAATTCACATGACTTTTTGTAAATATTTCAAAATTACGAGGCCATGAAATATTTCATATTTCAAAAATATGAAAATACTATGTATAATTTTATACACACATACACATACACACACACTCACACACACTAAGGTATTTGGAAAATTACTTTTCCAACTTGTTTCAACATCCAGTACTTCTAGAACTGATAAGATGATTTAGTTTGTTTATCTGAGGAAATAAGTTATGAAAATATATCTGAGGAAGGAGAAACACGTGACTTTCTATTTCAACTCCTTTATCTTATTGAAATCTGATTCCAGCCCTTTCAGTGTGCAGAGCCCCAAATCGTAGGCACTGAATGGCTAAGATCTTGCAGTTATAAGTGGCAGACAACCTCACCCAAACTCAGCTTGCCTAACTAAGCAGGCAGAGAGCACTTTGGATTCAGGACTCAAATGATGACACTAGGATTTAGTTCTTTCTCGGTCTCAGGTTTCACGTGAGGGCAAGATAGCAAAAACTGCCAGAATGCCTACGTTCTTTCAGGTTTCAAGGCCTGATCTGCATCTTCACCGGCTAAAACAATATTTCCTGAATTGAATATCAAGGCTTTGATTGGCTTGACCAACCAAAGGGTTCCATGCCATCCCAGAGTCAGCCACTGTTACGTCTCTGAGGCCAGTGTCAGCTTCAGCAGAATGTTATGGACCAATGTGGTAATGATGGCTCCCCCCCAAAAAAACTGGGTACGGTTACCAGAAGCAGCATAAAAGTGTATTGGATGGCAGAAATATTAGCTGTCTACCATAGCACTATGGAAATACCAGTAGACTGACTAATTACGGAGCCTCGTAATCCATGTAGTCTTGGGGATTACGGTAGAAAACTCGCTACAAGGCCTAATGGGATGTGCTGATGGTCTGTAATTTTCTTGAGGTTACCTGCCACAGGTGGAACCACTCTGGCCCATAGGGTCTTCCTTTGGTCATTGGTAGGCCCCTGTGAAATTTCTATGTAGCAGTAATTACATATCAATTCAGATAATAGTGGGCAGGTACACATTTAGAAAAAACAAGTAGGTCTATGAGGAAACCTGAATGGGAAAAGATAGTCACTGCAAACTCCCCGGGGAGCACCGGGGCAGGTGCAGAGAGCTTTGTTTTGAAAGATGGAAAACCTCAGTTGGAGGGGTAAACATCTCTGTCAGCAGGGGACTAGAAATCATTCGCCTGTGCCTGGAAGACTTTCTTCACCCAGCCACAGCATTGGTTGGTTTTGTTGGATAAAACTTTAATGCATATCTCTTTTATCTCAAATTTTAAATATATACTTTGTTGCAAGTATACATAAAATAGCTTCACAGGATAACCCCCAAATACTCAGTGAACTCCTTCATTCAGTGGTAGAGTGCAGGTCAGTGCCTCCCTGTGAGTGGCTTGGTGTTCAGGAAACATTGACAGAAAAGTAGGCAACGGGAGTCGGTCCCATTTCACAAAGGGAAAAATTAAAGCAGCATCAGGAGTCAAGTGTCTAAAGACCATCCCCTTGCCCCAGGTCCAGTAGAGGGCCAGGCACAGGTGAGTCCCCCTTGGGAAAATAGGGGGCCCTCTGACCCCCTTGCCTGGCCATCGGACTCCTTTTAGACCCAGGAACTGTTCCGACAGAGTCAGGGAAGGAGGAATGCCTGACCCTGGGAGAATGCATGCCAATTTGCAGGGTGTTGCAACACAGGTCCTGCGTTGAACTCAGCTTTGGCTGAGGAACAAAGGAGAGTGTTTACATGGTATGGTTCTCAGTCCCCAAGCACGTACTCCTTTGCTGCTGGCCATGAATCTTCCCCAGATCAGCAGGCACCCAACCCCCACTGCAGGCCCAGCTCTGCCCCTGACAAGCTGGCACGCAGCTCCCTCATCTGTAAAAGCGAAGGGTGGGTGATAGGAGTTCTTCCTGGCAGGGACTGTCTGAGGCAAGGCATGATCCTCAGGCAGAAAAGAAAATTGTTAATGTAGATGTAGGTGTTACTTCTCCCCGAGCTGTGGCTTTCAATGTCTTGCACCCTGGCTTTCCAAGACACAGTGTGGGCTCTAAGTCCACACTGACCCCTCACTTCCCTGGCCACGGGGGCCCTGCCAGCTGCACTTCACTCTCTGGTGACCTCAAAGCGTTTTCACGGTTGCCTCCAGGAGGACAGGTCAGTGGTTCTGTATGAGCACAAGCAGACCAGGAGATGGGGTGAAGGGATCCAGACTTGACCTGTCTCCACGCACATGACCCCTCCAAACCTCCATATTTCTTTAGGATGCACCCTCCTCCACCCACCTCCATTTTCCCCCGCTGGCTCAGTCCAGACTCTTCGGGGTGGGGGCAGCTGATTAGGACTCATGTAACATTAATCGACTGTGAATTGTTGGGGGTTGTGGGGCCTCCTAGCCTCAGCCCCTGAGGGAGATGGGGTATCCCGAGATTCCTCTGTGAGAAAAGCTTGCTCCCAGGTCTTGCCAAGGTGCCCTCTGTCCAGCTATCTCCATGGAGACATATTTCTCCCCAGGGAGAAACCTGGGCCTCCAGCCCATGGAGATCTGCCACCTCAGCACTGCTGAGTTCGAGGTGTAGAGAACCCTCTGAAAGCAGTAAAGTTTGGGGGTGATGACATGTAAAAAAAACAGAAGACATCAAAGCAGCATCAAATCAGTCGATTAAGATCCCTTAGATTGTATTAGCATTGAAGATAATGCCAGGTTATCAGATATTAGCTTAAGTAAATATCACTCAGGAAATTAGATGTTTATGATAGAAGCAAATGATAAAATAACACACCGAGCTGATAGGTGTTTTCCATCTGAACTGTAAGGCGAGAGGCAACATCACGTTGGCTAGGTTCGTCCATGTAAGACACAGCACTCAGAGAGCTAAAAGCAAGGAAGCAAATTCCAATAGTTATTACAACAACAATAATAAAACACAATGTTGCTTTTAGCAAAAATGTTACCAAGGTAAAATTTTCTCTAAAAAATTTCAAGCAAGTCCCATGTAAATATCCCGGTGATCTGTTTAAACCATTTGAGAAATGGAAACATTAAAGTGTGAGGAGGCCTCAGTATAGTGTTCAAAGCCCAGTGCAGTGCTCCGGGCATCCAAGATTGTTAAGAAAGTGTATATGGTTGGCCTGTGGGTGGGGTAACAAAATCCACGTTTCAAAAGCCATTGCCAATCGCCACTCCTCAAAGTGGACAGAGCTCACAAAAAAGACTGGGCAATATATGAGAAAGCTTCAAGTGTTGGGAAACCACTCTGTGTATACAAAAGGGGTTGTAAGGAGTGTTCTATTCTATGTTCCTCACAAATCGCTTTAGTAGGAAAAAAAGAAAAACGACACACTCATCTATGTGGTGAGAGAAACCACAATTCTCCCAAACTATCGTAAATCAATAAGCATCAATCACCCTTTTCAACGTGAAGAAAGGGTTGAGGCTTGGTTACCAAGGCAATATAAGCTTATGCAGGTGCTGAACAGGAGACCCAATTCAAGAGGAGCCCCTGTGTCCCCCAGGCACTACTTAATTCAACCTAATTCAGAGGAAATCCAACTGTCACCAGTGGCAGTCTCAGAACGCTCTGCCCCCAGTCCTCTCCACCTGTGAGAATGGAGGTTAAGCCAGATGTCATTTCAAAGGAGAAAATATAATAGTGCATATGTGTTTTCGAAGTGACCACTTTTATAAGCAGGCTATGTTTTTGCTTTAATTAAACAAGAAAGAGATATTTGTCCTTAATCTTCTGGGATTTTATTTTCTCCTACGAGGAGTTTAAAACACTTTGTTCTCAACTGTTTGGAATCAGTGAACTTCTTGCAAAAATATATTTTAAGACAATCACAGATAACATATATTTTAAAAATTCTTTAATACAATAGAGTTTACACAATAAATTAAGGTTTACCCACCCAGCCCAAGAAGGTGATGCAAGAAATTATGGCTGCTTTTTCATGCTGGATTTCTGGATTAGTGATTTAGTCTTTATTCTTGTAACACCTGCTGTCCTCAATTTTTTGCTGCCCTTTGAAGTAGCAACCAACCTGTTTGGTTACACTGGCTGCAGGTGTTGTGGGCAGTCCCAAAGACTACAGCTTCTGCTGAGAACAACCAGAGTCGCATAAGCCCCTTGATTCTAAGATAAGCCAGCCTGTCCCAATATTATAAATGCTACTTTGAACGTTGCAAAACATTTTCTATGATGATCTTATCTTACGTTCACAATACCCTTTGAAGTAAGTAAAAGATCATTATTCTACCCATTTCAGAGATGCAGGGAACCGACACAAAAGGCTTCCTTTCATACATATAGGAAAGGCAGACTTATTTCAAATATCCTATTTACCTCTCAGTGGCAAAGTCTCACATGTGATCATATCTGACAGAATGAAAATAGGAGTAATGACTACCTGAAAAAATTAGTTATTGCAATGAAAACTTGCACACACACAAGAAGGTATTAATAAGAAACACCCTATTTCTTTCCTACTGAATACCATACTAAAACTCATAGAAAAAGAAGTGGAGTTGGCACAAAACTCAAGCCAGTAGAAGTTAGAAGACAAAGATAAAAAAGCAAATAAGATTTTTACAAACAGTCCTCCTGATTGCTTTGCTCTTACCGTGTTACTTAATTGATATTCACAGTTTATAATATTTTCAGTATGAAATTGGTATCAAAGGACAGCTTAAAACCCCCGCCGGCTGAAGACCGTATGCAAATAGAAACTTCCGCAGTGACTTTTTGATTTGTGGAAGATAATTTCATTTAGTGTCTTTTTATTTCCATGGTAATCATGTGCAGGGTCATTGTAAAAAGTTCAAAACATATCAAAAACTAGAAAGAACAAAGTAAAATGACACAAAAAAACTGCTAGCCTTCCTTCCTTCCTTCCTTCCTTCCTTCCTTCCTTCCTTCCTTCCTTCCTTCATAACAGAACTAAATTTCTGGGAATGTTTCTCTCTAAATTAAAGACAAAATCTTAGACTTTTGTGGTGTTGTTGGGGCCATGTGGCTTGGGAGCCAATGAGATGTAAACGAAAGTTTTGGGTGGAAATTCTGAAACAGCTTTCTTAAAAGAACTAATTCAACCAAGAGAAGCCCTCTGTGATGACTGGAATATGGATATGACGACAAGAGTTCAGCAACTATCTTGGGTCTTGAGGTGATATTATGAATTACAGATCAGAAAAATGGATGTCTAGGTCCCTGAACTGCTCCCCTACACATTTCTTATGTAGGAGAAAATGTATTTCTATTTGGTTTAAGTCACCGTTTTTGTTTTTAATTATTATTATAGGAAGCATTAGCTATAACTGATTCAAATTCTAACTGACACAGAGTTTGTTTCTTGGAAGTAAGATGCTGGAAGTAACAGAACACAGAACTTGGAGTGAGTTAGTGGAGGACACGGGGCTTCAGGGAGTGAGGTTTCAGGGACTCTGCCGGAAGCCTGGTGTCCCTTGTCATGCAGAAGGTAAATATTTGGTTAATCTCTCAGTTTCTGTACCTTGGATGGCTGACCATGTATAAACCAAGACTATAACTTCATGGAAAAATTATAAGAAATTATATTTTAAAAAACCTCCTGTTTATGGTATTTTTTGGAACTGGAACCTGATAGTTCCAACACTAGAAAGAGATGGGTTGAAAAAGGGGACAGAGAAGAATAAAGAGAAGAATAAGGTGAACAGAAAAAATAAGATACTTATTCCTTGAAAAAAGACAAAATATTAAAAAACACTTTCAATCTGGGCAATTAAAATTAAACCAGAATATGAAGTCAGTACATTTTTAGAAATAGAAAAGATCCTACATTTGAAAATTGGGAATTACAAATGTCAATTCAGAATACTGACTTAGAAAGACATATATGTTTTCAATTGAAGCCGTTGGAAATGTGAGATGCTCAAAGAGAAGACTTATTTTAATCACCAATTCTTCACACGCAGCACAATAAATTTATTGAGTATATGTCACAACATTGCAAGTAGATGAGTTTCAGTTATGTATGACCAGCCGTTCCCTAGTTTATAATACTAACTCTTCTAGAGCTGCAATCTCATTGCACAGGGAATGCTTTACTTGATGTTATTTTTTGAATGTAAAAAATGTTCTTGCAATTTGTTTGTCATCAGCTTCTTGGCATTAATGAAGAAAAAATTCAATTGGCAAAATGTATACAAGAGAGCTGCAAAGTTTTGGAAAGAAAGGTAGAGTAAAAGTAAATGCAGGAGGCCCTGGCTGGGTAGCTAAGTTGGTTAGAGTGTTGTCCCAGTACACCAAGATTGTGGGTTCTATGTCCAGCCAGGGCATATACCAGAAGCAACTAATGAATGTACAAATAAGTGGAACATCCAATCAATTAGTCTCTCTCTTTTTCTCTGTCCCCCTCCCTCTCTCTCAAAAGTCAATTTAAAAAATGTAAATACAGGAAAATGATAAACCTGGTGTAAATGAGTCACAACACTGAACAAATCAACTAAAGTTATTGTAGAGAGAAGAGTAACAATTGATAATCCAATGCAAATTTCAGGTAATTGCATGTACCATTGCTGAGACAGACTTGAAATTAACCTGGATGCAGAAATAGCTGCTTAAAATTGGTCCACACAAATAAAAGTAACCCTTGTATGCTGTACTTGATGGACTGGAAATGTGTCATTCTAAATCAACAGTCTGGTTCTGATTACATGGAAAGGGGCATGAACTAAAAAATTAAATAGCTAAGGAATTGGAATATATTTATTCTTCCATGAAATTCAGTTTTCCTGAAAACATCTAAAAATTTTTCTTGCTGCCCATTCCACACAGAATAATGACAAGAAGTCATGTCTTGTTTTGACTGTTAGAGATAGCAACAATTATTTCATGAAATCCCACCAGCCACAAACATCATATAATTATCATTGAGAATTCATCCCCAGCCATTTTCACTGCCATTATTACTTAGGTATTTTGGAACTGCAGTAAGAGACATTTAAATGCCCAGGCAGCCTTGGAGCCATTAATTTAGCAGATTAAGAAGGTCAGAATATCATCTTTTCCTTTTTTTTGTTACCATGAAGTACCTGGAACTAAATATTTTGAATGGTATTATTTAAGCATGACTTTTCCCTTAAACTCAATTATTAAAGTCACGTGCTGCCCCCAAGTGGTGATATTTCAGAGCACATGGAGAAAAAAAAAAGGTTCCAGGGTATAAATTTGCACTTTTGTTTTTGTTTTTTCTTTATTCTTTCAACAAATATTTCTTGCCCAGAATGTGGCAGGCAAAGTAGGAAGTACTGGCAATACAAAGGAAAAATTAGAGTTCTTGTGCTTGAGCAACAAGATGTAGAAAGCAAGAAAAAATATGCATCACAATGCACTTGAGAACTTCTCACCTCAAAGTTTCTATGTACAATTTTATGTATGCTATACTTAAAAGCAAAAGCATACCTACCCTTCTCCCATCTGTACAAGTTATGTTACCTGGTAAGGTAATTTAGTTTTATGGCCATTTAATCTATAGTAAATTTGCTGTATTTTTATGTACTTTTACGGTATTTTTCTCACATTATTGGTCCCATTTAACTAGTGAGAGAAAAATTAAAGTGTAAACAAGAATCAAAATATTTTTTCAAAAATGAAAGAGGAGAGAAAAACGATATGACGTGTTCTTGTGAAATACATTTTTTCAGAGGAGGAATGATTCTAAAGGACAAAGAATGAACCATGTGACCTGTGAATCATCCAGCTCTGATGTGATTGAAGATAACCTAGGAAAGGCAATTGACAAAATAGAACTATTTTGAGTGCATAGGATAGAAAATTAAACTGTCTGAAGTCCGTTGAGCTAATGTTGAGCCAAGAAAAGGTAAGGTTAAGGTCAATG